TATTTTTGTTTGATGATGGAAGGGAGGGTGGTGGTAGAAAAATTAGCAAAATTTTCAATTCAAATACTAAGTAGCATCACTCGTATTCGCGCTTCGTTTCTAAATAAAGTACCACTGGTCCTATTATCTGTACACTTGATAACAATAATTCTCATAAATTAGAACGAAAACGAAGCCATAAGTTTGCTTTTACTTCAGCTCTCGTGTCTCTTTTTAGCTTCTTGTCCAAATGCGGGAGGTTTAAACCGGAAAGGCCTACAGTTAAGACTTCTCTGAAAATCCTCTCTTTCCAGGAAGATTAATTGCGTAACTTTCTGGTGAATATGAATTTAGTTAGAAATGATTGATTTCAGGAGAAGCAGTTTTCCTGATGTCTACCAGTTTCTTACCACTGCAGGTTTTTCCGTTTCCATAAAATCCCGATTTACATTAGCAAAGATAACATCCAAAAGTATTCTGACAGTCGGCGTTAGGGTCACAAACTGCACTGCCAGCACTGCACTCGTTGACATCTGGAAGAAAACACCATAGAGAGGCCAACTGCAATTTCTTATGACAATCCAAATTAATACACCCTTGGGTAGTTACAAAGGGGACAATGGAAAGGTATGATAAGGAAATAAATGCGAAGTCTCTCACCGGAACATGCTTTCCCACTTCCAGTAAAACCAGGCTTGCACGAGCAAACATATGAACCCCAGGTATTCTGACAGTTTGCATTGATATCACAGGGTCTAAATGAGCCCTTACATTCATCCAGATCTTAAAAAAAGTAGAGATGTCAAGATTACATTTTTTTATCTATTCAATTTTTTTCCTTGCAAAGTTGGCATACTAATTGCTTTTCAGTTAATATCAGAGATAAGACAAAAAAGTATTCTTAGAGCTCCTCTCATTCAAGGGATTACAATTTCTTTCCTAGTTTCTGTGATTTATAACTGTCCTAACCATGGTTATCGCTTATGAATATTGCGCAGTAAAACGCTGAGACTGCTACTTCTCTGAGAAATAGAGACAGGCTGGCGAATGGAGAACATGGAAATAGAGTATTAGCCAACGCTGACAAAAGGTTAACAGCACCCAGCTGACTGGTTTCTGGTCATAAAACTGCGAAAGGAAACGTGAATTAATGGCATATGATCATGGGGAATATATTTCTTTGAAGACTGAGGGAACGTTAAACCGTTCTAAGTAAATGCGAACTTCATAATTCTGATTCCCAACCTGCCCGATAAATTGGCGTTTGGGGGAACTCCCTATTTTCACGCAAGCATGCTGAAATACAAACCATTGCAGTATCTCCCGGAAAATCCAACTTCACACGAACAAATAACTGAACCGACAGTATTCTCACAGCCAGTTGCATTGGTGGCGCAAAATGGCTTCGTAGAGCTACACTCGTCGAGGTCTGCCGAGGAAAAAAAATAAAAAAATATATTGATAAACAAACGTATAAATCCATTCTAATAAAAAATCAAACAAAATACTAAATTTTCAATCAATATGTGCGACAGTAGATAGAGTTAACAGATGGAAGATAGAGTAGTTCTGATGAGAAAGGACGGTACTGTGTAATTGTGACTTAATTATTTTATTTAGTCTGTTTACCTTCCGTCTCCATGTTACAATGAGCCTGAACAACTTCTCCAGGTATTAAAGAATCAAACCAGCATTTGCCACTGGTCGCATGTCCTCCCTCACTCGCCTTGATTTCTCGACAAGTTTCAGCCGAAACCTCAGGGACTGAACCAAGTGGAACTAAGAAAAATTAAGGGCATTTAAGTTCTCTTTAACCTCTTTAACAGTTTGGGAAACTGTTGTGAGGTGATAATCAGGAAAGTTCCTTTACCTCACATCCCCTTTTTTTGTTCACAAGAAAAAAAAGATCACTTCATCGCCGCAATATGTTTTTAACGCTCTAGTGCTGATGACTTAGTGCGTGGCAGCTCGAAAACGAAAAAAGAACAGGACTCTAAACTGAACCATGGTCAAATCAGAAGCCCAATTTAGGCTCCAGGGTCCAGTCTTTGTTTCAATTGGTGATTGGTGATTTCCACTCGACACGACATAATCCTGATCCAACAAAATAGAGCATGCGATTTGACCTAACCACTTTTTATTATTTTTTTTAAAGTTAGATCTTTTCTTATTTTATAATAAACAAAGATTTATCATCACTTTACATTTCTAATTACAATCTGATCTATAACGTTAATCAATCTTATTAATATTTACACGGGATGAGATTGGTTCGCTACCTCAAATTTGTGATCACAGTCGGTCATGTTTACCTACCTAATTTTTTATTTCTTCGAGAATAGTACCGGTGAGGATCAGAAATAAAATCTTCAGGCCTGGCTTCTTTGGTTCGGTTGTTCAACTCGCAGATGTCTTTCAGAATGACGTAATTAAAACTTCGACAGCTAAGGTCATCGTTGCAAGCCTGGATACACTGCAGAGCACTTAAGGTTTTCAACTTCTTGTATGTGTGTCTCCTTAGCATCATGTTAAATATTGAGATGTCGCTGCCACACTGCTGAGCGGTTATCTTGTACAAAATCAAACACACAAAGGTGACAGATAAAACACTTTTGACGTTGTGTTGCTGATCCATGTTTCCCGCTAAAATTGTAACAAAAATGATTGATACATCGCATATGCAGAAAGGCAAGACGAGTTTAATTCTTTAGTAACTGAATGGCAGTTCCGTCAAACGAATTCGTGGTCGCGAATTTAGTACCAATAACCACCCAAGTTGACTTAATAATTTGTCAGAAACTGCAGCTGACTTACCGGCTGCAAAACATACGAGCTCGAAAGGTACAACATTATAAGTGAAAATATCTCATCCTCCTGTAATTATGGGTGTTTCTACGCACTTGTCAAGACGTGTTTTCCTAATGAGTGTTTCTGCATCAGTCACTCAATTTCCCGTTAGAATTTAGTGTGCATAACAACCTTAAAATTAACTGTACACCAGAATACAACGAATGGTAGAGCTCCCTATCAGTAAATAATGTATATTCTTTTTCCGGTGTTTTGAAGAATTCAGTTATTTATGATCCCTCTCGGGGTGTAGTTATATTATGAATGTGGATATGATTCAATATTAAAATAAGAGGTTGTTCGAGTTTTAGCCGATAGGCGAAGTTTCCTAATTTTCACTTTTTTAATTTAGCTGTCAGAGTAATTTTTTGTATTAACCGCATAGCCGTTTTGGATAACCTCGGCTTGGACTTCCATTAATCGATTAGTGTATTTTCATGTTTCGTCATTTCCATATTTCGAAAGACAATTTTGCCTCATATTTTGGATAGCCATTCAGCTCCAAACTCCAAACTAATTCGGTTTTGAGGTATGTCTCGGTTACATGACGCAATTTTTGCCGTTTTGCTTTTTAATTGGGTGCATCATGTAAACCTGTTTTCACCATCCTTTCACCCCTTTAAGAGCGTCTTCAGGACTATTTTGTGAATGACAACAAATACCGGTAATAGTTAGAATAACTGTCGATGCGAAGGTTCAAACCAAAGTTCTTTAAAGGAGAGAGGATTTAATGAGGTAGAAAAATTATCACAAAGCTTCCACTCGGCGCGGAATGCTCATCTTTTCCAAGACCTTCATCATCTTATTTTACTAGTGTAAGGCAGCTCGCATGAAATTAAATGTGTACCATTACTTTCATTGTGCGAGAGATCAAATGCTGTCTTACCTTTGGAAATGTTTTTCCCTCCCTGAAATACCTAGATCTCGAAAATGAACGGGAATGTTTTTGCTTTAGTTTTCTTTTTGAACTTGCTCGGCAGTCTCAGACTGCGCTAATAAGGTTGAAAATTCGTAGAGGGAGACGCACCGACAGATGATGTTTGTCAAATGAGGTTTACATCCACCCAAGGACGTTTAATAGCTTATCGTAAGGACGTACCTCCTGAGGTTCTGTTTTCACCGTAATTTATATATCTGTTATGTTCCAGAATGATCACTATATTACTACGTGTTGCTACTGTTTTGAATGAGGTTGGTTTTTTTAATTCAAATACACTTCAACATTTACTTTGATGTTCGAAGAGACATAGTTGCCTCTGAAGTATTAATTTTAATTTAGTTTGAGCTGTAAGTATTTTTTTTACACCTTTTTCAAAGCGACTTTGCTACTTTCTGAGATCCTTACGATCTTTTTTTATACATGTATACAGATCAATGCTTTTATTGTTTAGAGATGTGCAGATTAGCAGGTGTTAAACTTGAAAAAGCACCAGCAAATGAGTTAAACCCCGTAGCGGTGATTATATCTCTGAAATTGAAACTTTAACATTTGATGGAAGAGCGAAATAGTTAACATAATTTGAGTGCTTTTCTCCACTGTATTGACCAGGGATTTGACAGGATTTCTCAGTAAGTTCTCAAAAGGAGATTTAAAGCGTAACTAGCGATAATACATGACAGAACAAAACGATAGAAATGATAACAACAATAGTAATAATAATTATAATTTCAAGACGTCCAAGAGATAACTGAATATCCCGCATGGAATTTAATTACAAGAAATACCTGGATGGAGCGCCTTTTCTGCAAGTGGTATTTTAAATGCAATGAAACTCAGGGCTCGACATAACTGTGCACAATTCCATTGAATAATTCATCCTCCCCCCTTTAAAAAAAAAAATTAAAAAAAAGTTCAATTGATCAAGAAATTATTGAGGAACTTTGTAGACTTGCGTCTTCGGAGTGATCACAATCTTCATTTCCCATTTGAAGAAAAAATATCATAATAACCCCCGTCAATTGGTGCACCTCTATAATAATAGTTGAATTTACGGAGAAGTGCGAGGGATATTTTTAGGTAAGTAAAACTCTTTAGAATGTATTTACATAACTATTTATGGAAAGCGCTGAGACTGTAAATTCATGAATTTTGGAAGACTCGCTTCCCTGTCCTTCGATCAGTTACTTTTGGGGGTGAGTAATTTAAGTAGGTAATTGTGATAACGTTAACCCGATCAAGGGATTGTGGAGGAGCATTCTACACTGGCGTCTTCGCTGTGTCCACAATCATGATTTCCCCATCCATCATGATTGCACTCGTCGATGCGTAACTCATATCCTGAGCAGTCCAAATTATCAATCCATATCTGACCAGACCCTTGACCATGCGTGGCGCTATAAAAGGCTTGAGTGGCTGAAGGGAAGCCAAGCTGTCTGCAAATCACATGAGCGTCGTTGATGTCCCAGCCGTCTTCACAGATTGTTCCCCACTGGCCGCTATGGTAAACTTCTACCCTCCCAATTAGTGTCGTGTTTCCTCCAACAAGGCGAATTGTGTTATAAGCTGTATGGAATAAAATTAAGAAACCACTATTATCAATAGACTTTTGCCGTTATTTTTTCCCCTATCATAATTCAGATTATCTTAAAGAACAATGATTTCACAGGTGCACCATGATCAACAACTATTTACTGAAGTGGAGGTGACCTGTGGTAAATATTTCACTTTGATGAACAACAGTGTTAGTGAATACTAAAACAGTAAGATGATATAGCACAAAAGGATGATTTTAACTCATAATGATTACAAAGTTTTCGGCCGCAAATCCCGCGCGCGTTAGTCAGTGAAATATAAAGGATATTCAGACTTCAAGTAGCTATAAGAACTCACCTTCAACTCTATCCACTGTTTTAGTATATACGAATATATCATTGTCATGGTTTGCTGTTCACCTTTTCATTCAGACCTCAGTTATTTCACCCGTGTTCTTCGTTTGTAAAAAATTATTTCTCTACCCATTTTTTATCTTTTCACTGCTTCTAGAGAGCATGCCTATACCAGTTTTTCTGTGGTTAAATTTAGTTTTCTCTCTTGAACTATAATCAAACATTTACATCGACGTTTTATTAAAGTAACTCCTTTGGTTGTTTATCTGCCCTGAGTTTTATAAAAGGAGATGCAGCTCAAGTTATTCGGCATTAGAACCTTTGATGTTGCAAACCTGTAAATGTTTATATCTCTAATGTGATTTGCTTATGGTTGAAAGCCACCTAGTTATCTAGCGAACCAAGTCGAGCGGAAAATTAGGATAGAAGGACAGTTTACACTTATTCATCAAATCTGAGGTGGCTGGTGGTGGATATTACCAAGCCTTGTGGCTGCGAGTTAAATACCCACCCACCGACATTGAGGAGAATAGTTGTTTAATATATATAATAAAACAGTGAGATAGTGTAGCGTTAAAAGATTATTTTAATTCATTTACTCCTGCAACGATTACAATTTTTTCGAGTGCAAATCCGGCGCGAGTTGCTCGGGGGTGAATAACAAAGGATATTCGGAGTTTGGGTAGCCAATCAGAGCCCGCCTTCATAGCTATCCACTGTTTTAGTATATGCTAATTACTCTGAATTCTTTTTTTTTTCCATTTACTTTTGCAGTAATAACGAGAGTACAAGAATTCTGACAATTATACAAAGATACCTTACCGTGGTAACTTGCCGCAAACCCAGAACTTGAAACTGATTTGTCACTACTAAAGGTGACGTAAAGCTGTTTGGATGAGCTTGTGATGACCGCTGGTAAGGAGTTTCCGTGGTATTTGCCAATTAAAGAGGACATTATAGATGCGCCATCGTACACGTAGATATAGTCGTAATTTTCTTCAGTATCGAATTTGAAAAATATTAGTTCCACATTATTACTAGAAGATATACTCCAACTGCAATTCACGTCATTAGCGTAGGTACCATCTCTGTTTGAAAATATCATTCCACTTGAACTTGACCGAACGGTCAACATGTCTGCACATGAACTCGAAACAGTCGCAAATGGCTGGCCAGATACTGAAAGAGGCGATAAAACAACGTAAAATAATGAAAACAATAAAAAAAACCACGTTACCAAAAATGTTAAACAAAAAGAACAAAATACAAAAACGTTTCTTTAGAAGTCCTTTTCAACCATTTTATTGAAGAAAACGTTGTACGCTCGAGTTTGCATATAACATACGGAATTTTATTTGTAGTAATAGACGACTGTTGAGCCGCTCTTATTACACCCGTACTATAAATGCGAGCTAATTTGGCTGTATAAGGAGATGGAAATTATAATTAATAATCTTATGGTAAAATTAATGATGGATTGCTCATCCGCATAATCTCAGTCAGTGTAAGAACTTGTTTGGTGCCGATGAGTGCAGCACGGCCAAGCTCAAGATGAAAACATAAGCCATGGTACTGAATTTCGGACGTCCCGAGCAGCCTTAGCAAATTTTGAAAGGCTGATTCTCCATGAGCTACCTTTTATGGAAACGTGTTGATACTTACTATGATAGTTCGCTAAGAACCCTGATTTTACAACTGAGCCGTCAGTTGTGAAAGTAACAGAGAGCTCGTGAGAAGAGCTTGTAATGCTTGCAGGCAGAGAGTCTCCATCATACTCGCCGATCAGTGTGGAAGATGTTAGGCCATCGAACACCTTAACAAAGTCATAAGCAGACTCAGTTTGGAATCTTATAAATGCAAGTTCCAGTTTTGCATTTGAAGAAATAGTCCAGTTGCAATTCATGTCGTTCGAGTATTTCTGCTGCATGTTAGAAAATATTATACCACTTGCATATGATTCCACAGTCAGAAGGTTTGGACATAAACTTATGGCCCTCACAAAGGACTGGCCATGCACTGATGAATAACAAAAATATGTTAAAGTTACAAGATAGATAGGCAAAACACAAACGATTGACAACCAAGCATTCCCACTTTCTAAAGGAAGAAAAAAAACAACTAATACTCACTATGGTAGTTTGCTAAGAACCCAGGGTTTGTAACTGAACCGTCAGTTGTGAAAGACATAAAGAGCTCGTGAGAGGAGCTTGTAATGAGTGTAGGCAGAGAGTCTCCATCATACTCGCCGATCAGTGTGGAGGAAGATGTTGGGCCATCGTACACCTTGACAAAGTCATAACCAGACTCAATTTGGAATCTTATAAATGCAAGTTCCAGTTTTGCATTTGAAGAAATAGTCCAGTTGCAATTCATGTTGTTCAAGTAAGTTCCATTATAATTTGAGAATATTAGACCCGTTGTGCTTGTTTCTATGATCAAAAGGCTTGCGCAAGAACTTGTAACTGTCACAGATGACTGTCCAGATACTAGGAAAAACACCATGAAATAATTAAATGATTGGACCACTCAATCAATCGATCGGTCGGCAGAACAAAAGGCTGATTATATAACCGATAAATCAAACAGTCGATCAATTATACTCTCAAGCCATATAGCAAACAATCAGTCACTCCATCGATCAATGCTTTGTAATTTGACCGCAATAAATAGTTTGAATCCGAGGTAACATGTGATGATGTGGGAGTAGTCGGGATTTTCCCGCAAAAACTTGTCTCGAGCTTTAAAACTTTCTGTCAAGAATTCAATTCGCTTTATCGGTTATGAACAATTAATGATGTCCATGCATTCTTCCCGATGGAACTATCGAGAATCTGCACTCTTTCTCAACTAGGTATAGATTAATGCAATAGCCTACTAGCAGCAAAAACGCTTGTAATGTTCTCCGTCTTTCGAACGAACTGTGACGTAAACTCCAAGTTCTTCCTTTTAAAATTACCGTTAATTTTGCTTTTTGGGTGTTTTTGTTCTCTGTACTCTTCTTAAATTTTCTAAATTTGAAAGTTGTTAGTTTCCCCGAACCTGTCTGCCATTTTGCTTTTTTGTGCTCTCGCGACTTTTCTGCAATTCAATTAACTTTCACCCCTCTGAACTTAAGACTGTAACAGATGAATTGACGTGGTCTTAGCCAATGAACATGCGCTGATGTTTTTTTATGAATATTACTTATCTTTGAATTAGGTGCTCCTACCTGAACACATGTTTTTGCCATCTCCTTCATATCCTGGTTTGCACATACAATCATACGAGCCAATCACATTTACACAGTTAGCAATCTCGTGACAGTGATAGGACCCCTTTTGACACTCATCCACATCTATAGACGTATGAAATGTATCCCATTAGTTATAAAGAGAAAGACAAAATATCATGATTATTTGTTCCTCGAGAGATTAGAATATGAATAGATCATTTCGTTACCTCATTCTGCATGTATATTCTGCGTGATAGGTTGTCAATGATTTCTCTGGGGATTTTGTTTTAAATTGTGTCCGATGATTTCGTACAATTGATCAAATTTTGCATCAAAGCCCCATGCAGGTGAATGATATCACCAAGGACATTAGATTTGGATTGATATTAGTTCACTGCTTGACGAAGCGACACAATAACGAAGCTAAGATACTTCAATGTAATCTCACTCGTTATCACTTTAATTTTACGTGGGAGATTTAAGTTCATTCATGGTTCCCCTCCCTCAACCATGGTCACTTAGTGGTATTAAATGATAATACGAAATCTTACATGCGATATCTCTAAATCAAAATTAACGAGGCACAAAAAAAACCAACTAAGATGTTTCACAAACCTAAACACGTTGTGTCGCCGTCCCCGGTGTATCCGGGTAGACATGTGCAATCATAGGAACCTTGCGAATTCACACAATGGCCTTGAGCATGACAGGAAAATGAACCATCTTGACACTCGTCCACATCTGATAAAAAAACACAAAGTGCTTTGGAAAAGGTTAAATAAAAAAAGAGGTACACAATTCTACAGTTTCTCTCTTAATGATGAAGACTAAACATATCTTCATAAGAATTAAAGGCGACAGCAATTTTGGATGTAGAGACTGGCGTAAGGTGATTGTATCCATTTAATAAAATGCAATTCTTGCAAGCATCTTTTTCTTCGTCAGTGACAACAGATGTTACAATGTAGATTGAGACATTATCGCAAAAAGAGCCTTAAGGAAATTTGTACGGTCATCGTTAATGCATAAGATTGCCATAAACATTAATGTATGTAAACTCCTTAATATCGAAAAAAAAATTTACATGTTTGTTGACCTCTTATCACTATCACATTCAAAAGAGGTGAATTGCTATTTCATTTGCTATGCATCGTTATCTACTATTTCCATAATAATAAATGTCGTCATTATCATTTTCCAATGTCATTATCATGTTGGTACCTGAGCAAACCTGCTGACCATCTCCCCCATATCCAGATAAACACGTACAGTTATAAGAGCCATTCACATTGACGCACTGTGCTTGTGCGTGGCATGAATGTGAGCCCGCCTGACACTCGTCCACATCTGTTAATGAACATGTTATACTTCACTTATATAAAAGAAGAGATTGCTTCTAGACATAAATTTTGCAATAGGTGCCTCGATAGTTGTTTTCGTTATTTTAAATACGTTCCTAACATCTTGGACGAAATTTCTAAGACTTGAAAATTAAAGAATTATCTTCCACGAACTTGCCATAAATCGAAAGGGGTCTAAAACTTTTGTAGTATAGCAGTCACGTTGAGATGATAGATGAGTAAACAGGTCTGCTTTCACCATCGCTTTCTCTTAGGTAGGAAAAGCTATAAATTACCCGAGCAAGCATGTTGACCGTCTCCTGTATAGCCTGGAAGACATCTGCAATCATACGAGCCCATTACATTGATACACTGGCCTTGTGCATGACAAGAAAAAGAACCGGAATGACATTCGTCGACATCTGTTGAAAAAGCAATTGTTTTCCATGGCGAAACATAACATACTTCGTACAAAAACAGAATTGCATGTGTATAGTGCGTTTTAAGTTATATCTCTGCTGTAGAATCCTGACTTTAATTGCAGCATGTGCTTCGTGCAGATCCAAAAAAAAATCGTATTTCTTACAATAAACCGCTAGCCGGCTGGAAACAGAGTCTATTCTCTCATCATCAAAATGCTTTTATTTGATCTTTCTTCAGGGCATCGTGAATAATCGACCTAAGAATGCATGAGGTAATATCCTAGAATCTTGGGTTTTATCAGTATCTAATGTCCCTTCCTAATCAAACTGTCTCCTACCAATGCAGGTTCTACCATCCCCGGTGTATCCGCTTTGACAGAGACAGAGAAAAGTCCCAGCGGTATTTTGACAAGATGCCAAGGGATCACAGGCTACAACTGAAGCACTGCATTCGTCGTAATCTAAAGGAAGGAAAATAGCGAAACAGCCATTAACAGGAGAATGCAAGGCGGTAATTTTATATCCGTTCATGAGGAAATTCTTTTAAACGGCTGATGATAGAAATGTGCTCTACTATGTTTTCTTATCACTCCTTAGGAGTGTTTTACATTAATTTAAAAGGGGGTGAAAATACAACTCTTTCAATCCTTAAGGTTAAAGAGTGCCAGTTTCCTAATGCTGTCTTCTTTCTCACCAGTGCAAGTTTTTCCATTTCCAAAGAACCCAGATTTGCATGAGCACAGATATGATCCAATGATGTTCTCGCATTTGGCATTGGCGTCACAGACTGGACCAAGAGCACTGCACTCATTTATGTCTACAATAACGAAAAAATAGAAACAAAAAAATTTAAAAATTTCATTAAAACAAGTACGATTCCATATATATATACGTACATTAATAATTCACCAGAAACCTGTCCATATCTTTTCACTTAACTTAGTGATCAAAAATGGAAATCTGGGAAAGGAGAAGAAAATGGAAAAAAATCAAAGACGGGTGAGAAAAATGGGAAAACTCTAAAGGATTAAAACTACAAGGAGCTCTTTTCTTACCAGTGCAAGTTTTTCCATTCCTATTAAAGCCAGCTTTGCACGAGCAAACATAAGAACCACGTGTGTTCTGACAGTCGGCGTTTACATCACAAGGTTTGACTTGGCTCTTACATTCGTCGATATCTTTAAAAGTGGGAAAAATGCACTATATCAAGCGAAAGCATCGATGAATTGTTGGCCACTATCATCCCATTATGCAATTTTGTGGCTCTAAGTTAATTAACGGTACCCATTCATGCGTTCCATAAGTACTAACCATTACAATATCTCCCGCCAAACCCAGCTTCACAAGAGCAACTAAAAGAACCAACAGTGTTCTGACAGCCAGTTGCATTGGTAGCACAAACAGGTTTGGACGCGTTACACTCGTCGATATCTGCCAAAGAAACCAAGAAAAAAAATAATAGCAACAAATATAATTGCGAAACAGCCTTAATTTAGCAAAGGGTGAAATAAACAAGACTGATTTCTGTATCCTGGACGTCTACATTTGGAATTGAATTCCATGATAGGCCATTTAATTTTCCCCTCAAAGTCTTTTTTCACATGCAAACTGAGCTCCACGACCTTCACCATCACAACCCTTCCTTTAAAATAAGGCTCCATAGGGATATCTTTGAAATAACACTTTTGTCCCATCGACATAATGAATAACTAGAATTAATTTTTGAAAAATATTCCATATCTTTGTCTCATCTTAAGACCCTATTATACATTGCTTTGTTGTAACAAAACTATTATCATCTGTCTCCTTACCCAGACAGAAAAAAAGTCATGAGGTGTAGATTACCTTCCGTCTCCATGTTACACTCGGCCTGAATAACTTCTCCAGGTAATAAAGAATCGAACCAATATTTGCCACTGGTCGCACGTTCTCCATCACTCGCTTTGATTTCTTTACAAGTTTCAGCGGGCAGCTCAGCGACTGAACCGATGAGAACTAAGAATAATCCAAATGAGTTTTTTTAGTTTTCGTTTAGGAAGCATAAACCATAAACTAGAAAACCAACATTGATTAATGAAGGCGTGAATGATGACAGTGCCCAAGGTTTGCCTATCGTTTCTTTGGTTTGTTTATTTCTGTTAATTGGTTGCAATTTTTGTTTGTTTGTTGTTGAATTATATCATTTTGACTGACCTAATTTCTTCTTTCTTCTAGAATAATATCGGCGTGGATTAGAAATAAAATCTTCAGGTCTGGCTTCTTTAGTTCGGTTATTCAGCTCGCATATGTTTTCCAAGAAAACATAATTAAAGCTTTGACATCTGAAATCATCGTTGCAGGCCTGGTCGCACTCAAGGACGCTGGAAGTCTTGAACGTCTTGTATGTGTGCCTCTGAAGCATCATGCTTGGTGAAGAAAAGTCGCTCTCACACTGCTGGGCGACTATTTTGTAAAGCATTACACAGAAGACGGCGGCAACTACGATGTTGTTTGGGTGGAGTGGTGGATCCATTTTCTTAATTCCAATTAAAAACTGCAATAAAATCGCCTCAGTAATTATTTTGACGTTGAGCAGTTTATTGTGTTTTTTTTCTTTTTTTTTAAGAATTACACGCGCCTATATGTACTATTGTACAGTCGAATAGCGCACAACGTAAAATTACAAACTTCTGCAGGAGATCAGTAAATGTAAAGGCACGAAATGCAAATCCTTCAGATATATTTTGAGCGATGAAAGATTGCATATCTACCTTTTTTAGAGGTGTATTCGATTAAGGGATTTCCTAGATTTCATCGAAAAGGATGCAAGCAGGCAAAACATGTTTTGAATTTTCCTAGATTACCTCGTCTCGAAACATTTATTTCTAGAGTTTTTAGCAGATGATCTTAAATTCCTTTTTCTGTTTTCTCTCAGTATGTTTCACAAGGTTATTCGTAAAACGCCGGTAAAGTATGACAATTTTTAAGTATTTGAATGAGACAGCAAACAACCTACCTTTCACAAAATCGTCTGTCCTGATAACTGGTTGCCCAGCGAAGTTCTTCAAATGACAGCGTTGCTGGATTTTTGTTATAGCTTTTAAGCAGCCGCGAAGAAATGAATTTCTTTTTCAGAGGAAGTAGATAACTGGATCATGTCAATAACGGTGTCTGTTCTTGTTATGGAGTTAATTGACTTACTCAACAGTTAGACCACCTACTATTCTGTTTTCAATACTTATAAAAGCTGTCTAATGGCATGATTTATCAGTATCAATTTGCAATGTTATGTTTTCGATGCTGTACGGTTTGTTTCAAACATATCAACAAAAAGGGTTTACGTAAGTACTTTATTAAGCTCACCTATTATGAGTTCAAATGACTAAGCATTTCTCAAATACCTCGAGAAACTGTTAATCAGGTAAATCGCTTCAATTCAATTCAATTTGATTCTTAGCACAATACCAACTCATCTATTTTTCCCCTTTCATTACTTTTTTAAGGCTGTTTCTTTTTCATAACTGCATACGGTTTGCTTTTCTAACAAAACTCTTTACCGTTGTTTGGAAATGTGAACAGATGTTAGAAATTAAATTACGAGACAAAAACATTGAAAATTCGAGAATGCCGATCGGCTTGCCTTCACTTGGACTTCTATGAAAATAAGAATAAATGAGTAAAATAAATCATAAAATTAATGGCTTTGCTAAACTTTTTTACACATGTAAAAAACTAAGAAAAAGTCTTCAGAGTTCTAGGGGGGAAGTTTCTTAATTACGTGGAAAACGAGATGTTTTGCAACACATTTGGTAAATAAACATAAAAATTCAAACTTGAAGAAGTGCCGATCAGGGAATTAAAAACTGAACGCTTATGAATACCACGAAATGATACTAGCCTAATCGAGCTGCGAAAAAAATCTTGGCCGAGCTAGACAGGTAGCAACACGCACAAATAAAGATATTTGTCTTAAACAATTGCCTTTAACAAAATCACACGACTTTATCATCATAAAATTATAGATAACTCTACGGCTATTATTTGCGGTAACAGATCGTCATTCGCCGATGTTTGCTTTTTGTGTTGTATTGTTTGCTTTATGTCGAGATATGGCAAACCATATTGTAACTTTTCGTGTGAGGAAGGCTACATCTTTAACATTATCTCCTTCCGTTGGTCATGCAATAATTGATTTAATGAAATTTTATTTTCTCTGATTGTATGTTGTGCGATCTAAAGCTGAGTATGTAAAGCCCACGGCCTTCTCTTCGATCTCTTCTCGTGTCTACTTTGCCAAATTTAATGTAAAGTACCAGACCTTTTGCAATAATATTTAGATTTCCCTCGCACAGAGTACCCTAAATATGTTTTTCGTTGCTAAATCAATGTGACTTCTTAACGGTTGCACGAAAATAGCCTCATGAAGGATGATTACCCCGCGTTACCCAAGAAAATAACCGTCATAAACAACCTTTCTTTGTAGTGTAGAACACTTTGAATTGTAATAATGATGAACCCTCAAGAGATACTAAGAAATTTCTTAATCAGAGTTGTAATTTAGTCTTTTAATCAGCGGAACATTAAGTACTACCACAATTATCAAGTATGATTAACAACAAAAAAAAGTTCTAATTTCTGACTAAAAAGGGACCTTAGACAATCACAACAACAACTTCAAGAAAGCAAACGCATGAATTCCCCTAGATTGATACTTCTTTAGATTTTCACAGTTGTTATATTTGAAAAGCTTGATTAGTTACGATCCGCTGGAATACCAAGACCACGCTGCTAAAATGATTTAAAATTCAGACTTTGCAAACTGTTTAAAACTCTAGAAAGATCTTGGCAGCATTGAGTGTGTCAATGTCCTCTGGCGTTCAATTTTCGTGTGTCGATGATGTAATTTTTTTACCTGATCCGTTTGATCTTTTAAAACTGTCGACATATCAACACTGTCACTCTTGATGATTAACATAAAGACTAGACAGTTCTAATCTCTGATTGATGGTAACCAGCGCCTAAAGAAGGTCTCAGTGGGGTTAACCGTTCAAATGACATGACTTTTTTTTTTTTTAACCATCGGTTGTGAAAAAATTAACCTTTAAAATTTTTCTGATAACTATACCGTTAGCCGTAAAAGCCATCACCCTATCGAGACCCTTGAATAACTATCTCGAAATTATTCACAATGCTATTATAATTTATTAAATATTGCGTTTAGTCTAAACATGGCGCATGCGTTTAGTCGCCGAAGTAAACTACTCGCTATTACTTGCTAAACCTTTGTATTCAACATGCAAAAATCAAGTGTTGGTTTCGTATACCAAATCAACGACCTCATTTTAGTGATATTACGGAGCAGCCAGACCTCGTATTTCTTTATCATTAGAAAAAAAAAACTGTATGGGGGAAATCGAAAAGGATGAAGAAGAGTGTCAGAGAATAGCATACACCCTCTCCTCCCTTTCCCCAAAAAGAGAAAACATTAAAATGAAAAAATCCTTTTTAAAAGAGTCTTTCCGGAACGACTTGCACTGAATCAGTCATTTCCAAAGTTGGAAAAAAAAAAAAAAAGCAAAACAAAAAAAATCCCACACCTGAACAACGAAGTTTGAAGGAAAAGCGCGAAGAATGTTGTTGGATTAGGCTCTTCAGCATGCTTTTCCGTTACTATTCATTGAAAGAGCTTAAAAAATTCAAGAAACTTTGAAAATTCTGTTTCTTTGTCCTTCAGTTACATTCGGTTGAGCAATTCAAACAGAAAATTACAATAAAATTCACCAGATCAAGGGATTATAGAGGAGCATTCTGCATCAGCGTCTTCGTCGTGTACACAATCATGATTTCCCCATCCACCATGGTTGCACTCGTCTATGTGTAACTCGTATCCTGAACAATGAATATCATCAATCCATATCTGACCAGAACCTCGTCCATGCGTAGCCCTTCCAAAGGCTTGGGTGGCTGGAGGGAGACCGAGTTGTCTGCATACTACCTTGGCATCGTTTATGTCCCACCTGTCGTCGCAAATTGTTCCCCATTGGCCGCTATGGAAAACCTCTACCCTTCCAACCAATGGTGAGCCTCCTCCCATTAGGCGGATTGTGTCAACAGCTATAAAAAGATGACAAACGCTTCATGCTACACAAGCCAGAATACCTCTTACAGTAGCGAGATGGCTAGACCTTTCATCTATTTAACTATAATAGCCTCTCTATCAGCTAGGAGCGTAATGGAAAATTAGTTCTTATTAGTTTTAATTTGTTCATAATTGATAGTTTCAATCCACTTCGAGTTTTTTTACACAAACCGCACAAGGCCGTAGCTTTGGTTTTCATAGTATATAAATAAAAGCGTTACGTACGTATATGTAGATGATTTGCTTGGACGCATTTCAATCTAAAAAAAACATTTAACTGCGGTAGTCTGTAACTTTCGAACTTTCGTCGGCCTCTTCATTTCGTCGATTTGGCTGAAATATGGCATGAAGTCTTACTTTATGATCCAAATCCCGAAATGGATATTAAAAAGTTCCAGTTATTTTTGCTTGCCAAAAAACGGGAAAGTGTCCTTGGTCTGCCTATACTTGCCCTCCAACATGGCGGATCGAAGGTGATCTTTTGAATTCAACTCGGATCCTATTGTAAAGATTTCAGTCAAAATCTCGTGATATCCGTGAAACGATCTTCCCTTCCCCTTAGTAGTTATTTAAAAAAACATGGCAAATGTCTGGTTTTAACAAAATGTGATCCCAACGTTCTAAGGTCGCTTTAGGCCGCCTTGAACAAAGGAAAATTTACCCCAACTTATTAACCGAATATCTCCAGTTTTACCTCGATCCAGGAGTTACCATTTACTGTCAACCAAGTTTGTTCATAGATAAACAGATTTCATAAACAAAAATGGGGGAAAAGAAATGGTCAAGGAAAAAAAATTATCAACCCGTAATGACCTGTTTGGGACCTAGTCCTAAAAGCTCTTAAATCAATTTACGATCAGAAGAAAACGGTTAAAGTACATTTATCGTCCGGAAAATTTCTTGATTGTATGGAAATATCTTTTGACTTAACATAAATGTGATAATGTTCAAGCAAAATTGCTGCAACGGTACGATTTTAGGTAACTAATTGAATTTAAACAAACCGCGCGCAATTACGCTTAGAGTTTAATTCGCTTACCGTTTTGAGATCAAAAGATTTTGTGAGAGAAACATTCTCATCAATTCTTATATACTATTGGTAAAAGCAGTCGGTTTCGTAAATGATACGCAAATTTACCATGTTTTCCAACAGAAGTCAGTTCACCATTTTCTCAAGTTTGCAGCATAAGAAATTCCCCAACCTCTGGCAAGTCCGTTACAGTAATTTTCATTTACATCAAAAGTAAGCCTTAAATACCAACGTAATACACTCTGGAAGTGGCCACACACAAGAAACGGAATGTCCTTTGAGATAGACATCAACTTGAACCTGTGAGAATGTACAAGCAATCAAGTTTAATCTTGAGTCGAAAAGCGGAAATTTATTGCTTTATTTGAGGATCCTATTTAGATAAGGTTCATGGTTTTTTATCATTTCACCCCTCTTCATACTTCTTTGACAATTTTGCCCACAACAAGTACAAATATTGGAATTTGTTTTGATTTTGTAGTGAACACTAAGATGTCGGTTTCGTTGAGGTAAAATATTGGAAAAGTTCTCGTTTTTAACAGAAAGCCAAACTTACTATGTCTGTGATTACCTTCCATTTTAATCCAGTTTATTTTCCATATCTTTGCATGAAGAGAATGCTCTAGAATAATGTTGATCAAGAGCGGTTTCTCAAGGTTTGCTGAGGATAGTTCCGAACATACCATGCAGTAGAGCGAGTACACATCTCTTTTACGATGTACTCGAGACATAAAGCCTCATTTATGGGGCTTAAACGTTGTTGATGCGTCTTTGAGAAGCGAAATTCAATTACTGAAGGCTAGAGTAGGTGCTGAGACAAGTGTCATGTTTATGCATCGATCAATTCGAAACTACAACTTCCCTCCCCCGTGGAAATTTAACTCTTGAAAATCAGTTGTTCAAATTCCAACCTCCGGGGCCAAAATTATGTTCAAATGCCCTACTCAAGCTCATTTTTTTTTTTAAAAAGGAAGAGAATTGGGGTGGAGTTTGAACCGGAAATGTCAAGTCTTTCTAGACGATTAAGTAAAGGTCCACAAGGTCGAGAGTTTTAAAGCTCAGTAAATGAGTAGAAAGTCACGGATTTGAATTTGTTTTGTCGATTTGACAAACTTTTCAAAAGCGATTTGTCTAAAAGATATCGATTCTGAATATTTTTTCGGATTTGTAAAACATTTTTGGATTGTCCCTTTTCGGCTTCCGTACCTCTCTCGTTGCCATCAAAAAGTAAATGAAGTATGGTTTCTTAGGGCTTGGGTCTTAACTTCCGTTTTCTCTACCGACAATTCAGTTATGAACACGGATTCAATTCGAATTCATAGTTTAATTTTTCATATAGATTAAGTGTAAAGCTAGTTTAAAGCCATCGAAAGGAGTTTTAAAAAATATCCTTCAAGAACAGCCCCTCAAAGCAAAATAGATCTTAGAGCAAACTCAATTAGCGATTTCGCGCGCATTCCAACGAGGTGATGTTTATTTCAAACAACACTTAATTAATGTCTGCCTTAATAAGGGCGCTTCATGTGAGTATTTTGCGCTCAACGTTGGTGAAAAAAAATTTGCAAGGAAGTATCCTGAAAGGTTGGGTTTCCTTTATACTGATAAGAAAGTTGAAAGATAAGAAAAATGAAATTAAGACCCACTCAAAAACACAATGTAATTTACGAAATATCTAACGAAGAAAATCTAAATCATTGGCGTGACAAGGAGGATCAACTGCAAATGTAGCTTACAGGCTCAGATTTTGAGCAAGTCACCACCACCAAATAAACTGGGCTGGAATTCACAAAAATCTTCTTTTTTTTTCGAAATATTTCGTACTCAAAATGGTTAAGTGAAATCAACCCCTCCGAGCGTCAATACCGGATCTATTGTTTGCACTAATTGGGTAACCAAATACTTATCCCATTGCGACGATGTCGCCCATATATATTCGCTTTTGCCCAAAATCAACTGATACTTCCATAATATTAGAAATTTGCTTTCATTCTGGGCGAAATAACTACTTGGACTTTACTTCTGACCGGTAAGGTGATTAGGAGCTGGTCCCAAATATAGCTAAGTCATCATAGATTAATAAATTTTCTCCTTTGATCTTTAAATTTCCCCATTTTTTTATTAATGGATTCAATTCATCCATAAGGAAACATTGTGCCATGTTGTAAATGGCAACTTCTGGATCGCGGTAACATTAGAGATATCAGGCTAACAAGTTGGGGTAAATTTTTTTACTGTTCAAGGCGGCGCAAAACGACCTTTTAACGTTGGGATAACCTGTAATCAAAATCTGTCATTTCCCACATTTTTTCCAATAAATGTTAAGGAAAAGGGTAGATCTTTTTGTTTATCTCAAGTGATTTTATAAAATCTTTACGACAGGACTGGAGTCGAAGTCGTAAGAACACCTTCGATACGCCACGTTGGCGGGCAAGTATGGGCGGACTTGGTCGGCTTTAATGACTTTCTGTCAAGCAAAAACAACTGGAACTTTTTAATACCAACTCCGTGGTTAGGACCCTAAAATTAGCCTTCGTACCAGATTTCAGCCAGATCGGTGAGGTTAAGTGGCCGTGATCTTTTTAAAAAGTTCGAAAGTTATTGACTATTGCTCTTAAGGCATCGTTTGAGTAAACCGAAAAATGTATGATAATACTAAGAGTAACAACACACGGAATAGATACCTCGATGGTGCATCTGCGGTAATCATTGAGTCTAACTGATGTCTCCAAAGAACATCAAATCACATTTCATGGCCTTTTTAAACATATACACGAACAATTATGCATTAAAGACCTTCTCCGTTTCCACGCTAGACATTCAAGTTTGTATTAAAGCGCGAACAGTGGCTTACTATTTTGACTTTAAGGGGTATTGATATTCCTTACCGTGGTAGCTCGCTGCAAATCCAGACCTTACAATTGAGCCATCGCCGGTGAAGATGACAAAAAGCTGATTGGATGAGCTTGCAATGGCTGCAAGCGAAGAATTTCCATGATATTGCCCGATCAAAGGTGAGGACGAGGATCCACCATCGTACACGTAGACAGAATCGAAACTGCTTTCCGTATCGAGTCTGAAAAATATCAGTTCCAGGTTGGTATTAGAAAATATGCTCCAACTGCAGTACATATTGTCGGAGTGGAAACCATCTCTGTTTGAATATACCATTCCACCTGTACTGGACCGAACAGTCAAAACGTTTGCACATGAACTTGAGGCTGTGGCAAATAGCTTCCCTGAGACTGTAAAACAAAAGGAAGATAATACGTAGAGGGGTCACAGAGGGAAAGAAAAAGCGAATTCACTCGCATAGTCACCTACAGACTCGGTTGAAATGGGACATACCAGCTTTAATCTCTCTTTCTTATTCAAGATCCACACAAGTCATTTTAATGGCCTTGAAACGACTTTCTTTATTTTGTACGTGCTTTATTGCATTTTCGGTGGTATATCAATATATAGATATAATATATATATATATATATATATATATATATATATAGCTGAAACAACATGCGTTATCAGAATACAGACGCGCAAATAATTGTTATCACGCTGTCGTCACCCTTTTTAAGGCCGATCAATTTTCGGATTTCTCTTTCTTGGTTTTTCGTTTTTGTTTGTTTGCTTATCATTTTTATTCTTTTATTGTATTTTTTATATACATTGTTGTGGTTTTTCACTCAGACAGCTGATATGATTTAGAAAAGGAATATATAAATGACCTCTTAGCTTGAACTGTTACAGAACAACCTGTAGGTAACAACACAGATTACACAGGGATAGAAGGTGAAATTTCGGAACAAGGAACTGATGAAAAGGTCGAGCTGTTGCCTAGCAAGATAAGAACCAAAGAGAGTTATAAAAACGTTTCAAGTGCCGAAATAACAAAATTATTATCCCCGACAGCAGGAACAAAAAACACCAGAGAGATCAATAAACGAAATGTCCAAGTTGTCCAAGTCCAAGCTGAATGAGAAAGAACGATTAGTGCGGTAGTTTAAAACTCAGAAACAGCTACCACTTGTTTAGTATAGTTCTGTGTTTGAAAATAACACATTACAAAACAACAACAATAATTTAATACATATCCAAGCTGGCGTCTCTGTCACACATTTTTACAAATCTATATTCTAGATTACTTTATGAGAGTACAGATGCACGCTCATGTCATCTCTGTTCAATTGGAAATATGGTTTGTTTTGGAAATTGTGTGCAAACGAATGGAAAAATAATGTTTTTTTATAAAACAAACAAAAAAGCCTGGACTGTGCTCTCTTTTGTTTTTAAGCACTAAGGAAGCAGCTGTAAGTAGAGAAAACAATCGACTACGTCTCCTATTTCTCCCCTACAACACTTTCCCGCTTTAGCCGCTTCCAGCGTGCATTATGATAGGACAGAACGTAGTCAAAGCTTCTTTCTTCGTTGACTATAAAGTTCAATTTCCTATATGAAAGCTCTTACTGTGGTAGTTCGCCACAAACCCAGACCTTGAAACTGAACCATCACTAGTAAAAGTGACAAAAAGCTTGTGAGAAGAACTTGAAATTCTTTGTGGCAGCGAGTCTCCATCAAAGCGCCCGATCAGTGGAGAAGAAGAAGATGAGCCATCGTAAACAGTAACAGGATCATAACCTCTTTCAGTTTGAAAACGAGTAAAGGAAAGTTCCAGACTTAGATTTGAAAAAATACTCCAGCTGCAATTCATGCCGTAGCTGTATTCTCCATGCATGTTAGAGAATATGATTCCACTTGCGTATGATTCCACTTTCAGCAGGTTTGCACATGAACTTGAAGCCGTTACAAAGGATTGGCCTTGGACTGATAGAAAAAAAAAACAATAATAGGCAAGAATTAGCTTATGACAAATAAATCGACAAAAAATTAGTGTTCTTAATATCTATGGTGGACATGTTTATCTTACAGTGGTAAGCAGCTTGAAATCCAGACTTTACGACAGACCTGTCACTTCTAAAGGAGACATAAAGCTGGTATGACGAGCTAGTGAGGCTTCCAGGCAGATCATCTCCTCTATATTTGCCGATTAAAGAAGAGGAGGAGCTACTGCCGTCGTATAAAGACACAGTATCGCAACAGTACTCTGTGTCAAATTTCATGAAAAACAGTTCTATGTTTTTGTTGGCAGACATATTCCAGATGCAGTGCATGTTGTTTAGGTAGTTTCCGGCGTTGTTTGAGTATATCAGACCGGTTGTACTTGTTTCTATCTTCATGCGGTTTGCACAAGAACTTGTGACTGTCACGAATGGTTGTTCAACTATAATTAAAACAACACGATAAATCAGTCACTCGAGAATTTCTTAATCAACCATCAATCAATTAGTTTACTATGTCCATTTTAAATTTTCTTGTATTCTTGCAATCTGATTAGCTTTCATCAACACAATTTATTTACGAATGGTACCACTTTTTGCTCTAAATCGTATCATTTTTCCCAGCCGATGAGGAAGTTTTACTGAAACAAAACTATCATATTTTGAGACTTTTTTAAAGTAACCTATCAAATTGCTGGAAAATGAACAACTTTTGCAACTTATTACAGACCAGCTCAATACTGGATTAATAAAAAGTATTCGTACAGACTAAAAAATGCTGTATTTGTCCGACTGAATTTTGCGATTTCAAAATGGATGTAATAAAAATTTTGGTCTGAATTCATACTCATGATTTCAAATCACACGTATCAGACCAAATGCACTCCACTCAGTTCAATAAAGATCAATACTACAATTTTTCTTAACCAGCAAACCTACCCGCGCAGGAATGTTCACCATCTCCTGTGTATCCAGGTTGGCAAATACAATCATATGAGCCAATCACATTTACACATTGAGCAAACTCGTGGCAAGAGTAAGAACCCGTTTGACATTCATTCACTTCTATATTTGCTATCAACAAATAGAAACAGCTTGAGTTAAATTAAGATTCTGATTGGTCAGTATTACGCTTTATCCACCAACGTGTTACTTGGCCCTCTGAGTAAGATTGAAATGGTATTATGCAGTTGTTCAGTTTAAATAGTCATTATGATAATTTCAGAGACACGCATTTCTTAAAAAATATCATGAAAAGAGAATAATCGTACCATTTTTCCCAGCCGATGAGACTTTTTTAAAGTAACCAATCAAATCGCAGGAAAATGAAAGACAATTTTTGCAACTTATTTCAACTAGCTCAATACTAGATCAATAAAGTATTTGTACAGACTAAAAAATTCTGTATTTGTCCAATTGAATTTTGCGATTTCAAAATGGTTGTAACAAAATGATAAACTTCGTGTCGTGCTATTTTGGTCTAAATTCATACTCGTAATTTCAAATCACACGTATCATTTCAGACCAAATTGCACTTCACTCAATTCAATTTCTATTATTAATCATTCAATCAAGTTATCAATATTCATTACCATAAAGATCAATACTACAATTTTTCTTAACTAGCAAACCTACCCGTGCAGGACTGTTCTCCGTCTCCTGTATATCCAGGTTGGCAAACACAATCATATGAGCCAATCACATTTACACATTGAGCAAACTCGTGGCAATAGTAGGTACCCATTCGACATTCATCCACGTCTACATTTGCAATCAACAAATAGTAACAGCTTAAGTCAAATTGAGATTTTAATTGGTTAGTATTATGCTTAATCCACGAAAGGGTTACTTGGTCCTCTGAGTAAGATTGAAATGGTATTATGCAGTTGTTTGGTTTCAATAATTATCATGGTTATCTTCAGAGACACGGATTTCTTAAAAAAAAAACGTGAAAAAGAGAAATAGAGACTAATACATGGGCGCGCGTAGATATGGAATTTCTCTTCGAGTTTTTAACTCGATAGCTTACGAATGAGCGCAGCCAACGAGTGGGATGTCGAGTTGAACACGAGAAGAGGAATTCCATATCTACAAGCAACCGTGTATTATTTTGTTTATCATAAAACCACAATAGCCCCTTACTGAGAAGAAAAGCCTACCTCTTTAATGAATGAAAATAAATGAATCAACAATCCCCAAATAACAGTCGTAGAGTGCGTTGGCGCTAACTCTTAAGATGCAAATTGCGTTGAATAATGATTACAAAAACAACAATGGTCGTAATTTTCAATTTAAAAAAAAATCTCATTTATTGTCCTTACTATAGAAGAAGTCTTTCAGATACACGGCCAAAGTCGGCCAGTGACAAATCTTCCAGCTGTCGATTCTCACTCTCAGCCGAGAGAAACGCTAACACCAAAGCCAATGAATAAGTAACTTTTGGTTTTTCTTTTAGTACATTGGTTTTCTTCCCCTTCGAAGAAAGTTTGAACCTCACTGTCAGCGATACGGATTTTTCAGTGCTTTAGCCGCCATAATTCGAGAAACCTCCGACAAACAACTTGTATTGAGAATCGTGAAGACTTTGCCGTTCATTCATTAACCTGACCGAGTGGCGCTAGAGGTGAGTGACGTGTCAGCAGCTGATTGGCTATATAAACACACGTGAAAAAATACGATTTTTTTTCACGTGTGTTGTTACAACTTTTCTCAGGGCCGCAAATCCCTGTATAACACTGCAGTTTATGTGATAACAAGAGATTAACAAATAAATGGTTATGATATTTATAATAATGATATTGAAAGAAGATACGGACTTAAGGCAAGAGTACTCGCAAATTTAATATTCGGTAAGTTCGGAGCTAAGAAAGATTGCTTTGTGTTAAGATGATTATTCTTATTTCTGTTGATATTCAGAGACAGCGACTTAATCTGCTTCGAAGAAATCATGCAAAGAGACCTTAAAAACTGAAATATAAGAAGTCTGGTTATTCAAAATAGCCCAGTCTTCAACTACAATAAGCTGTTTCATTCACTGCTTTCTCTCTACTCATGTTAATTACCAAAGATTTCCAAACTGAAAAATTTCCTTTAAACTATTAAACAACCATTGCGCAAAGGGTTTATATTTGTCAGCCTAGTTTTGAACGATTAATCAAACGTCATAGTTGCCAAAAGAAGGATCTGCTGAGCCGCTGAAGACAGTTGCGTTTTGCTCAGCTTAGTTCAAAACTGAACGCACTCTATTAGAAAGGAATTGGATTTGTGGTTATCGTACTTGACGCATTACTTGTTGTGATTGTATGTAATCCAGTAACCCACGTTATTCTCAAATTACTGCACTCCAACTGAGAGCAGAGAACAGAACTTGCTCCATAGAAAGCTAACACACCTGTACAAAGGTGCTTTCCGTCACCAACATAGCCAGCTTGACAGGTGCAGTGGTAGGATCCGACATCATTGACACAGTTCGCTTGTGCATGGCAGGTAAATGAGCCCAACTGACACTCATCTGCATCTGTTTTAATATGAGAAGAACCTCAGTCACGTCAAATACATTCATTGATGCTAAGCATATACGGCTTCGTGGATAAACAAAGGTAAAACTAAGAGACTAGTCTCCCAATGGTCATTGAAAAAAAATACATATCTCAATATTACAATTACGTACATACCTACATAAACTTTATATAACGATAAGAATAAACAGAAATAAACGAATTTATTACCATTAACAACAAAGGGAGAAAAATCATACTTTCGCTGGCTGCTTGTTTTATTTCCACCCTCCTTAAATCTCTTGTTAATTCAATTTCTATTTCCTCACCAGTGACACCCTGAAAGTCCCTGAAGTCTGCCTCCGTTCGAGAAATTAAACACCTTAAATATCTTGTTTAAAATTCTATTTCCTGACAAAGAAGGGTATCATAGAGTAAAATGTCTAGCCCAAAAGCTAAACACACCAATAAGACAAAGGCCGAAACCAAATGGTCAACAATGGAGCAACGATTGATACTTTTCACTATCCATCACTCTCAAAGGAAAGATGGCAAAAACTTCGCAAGAAAATTACACTTTGAAGCTAAGGTTAAGTGTAATAAGTGACAGATGACCGAATCATGCTGGTTGGCGTAATATTTAAACCCGTTTCCAGTCTTTTTGTACCAAGGGTGTCTCGTACCCAGTCGATTTTTTACTCAGCTTGGTCGATTCACACCCAGGTAGCTGAGTCGTGTTGTACTCATACTAATAAAGTAGGTCATTCACGTTAATATGTTTAATAATTAGAGTAAACGGAGAAATAAACGTTGGCAAAAACTCCGCAAACAAATTCAGTGCACCCCGCTGAACTACATGCATGCCTCGATGTAGAGAACATTGAAATAACATAGCTCCATTTTCCACATATAAACAGAGAGGTGCAACCCCGAATTCCTTTATTCGCTCTGACGAATGGCAAACGCTCGAGACGTCAGCTTCAGGAGCTCTTTAAGGTGAACGATTAACATTAGCAACTCTGTTGATAAAACCAAATTATATTTTATTTTAAGACTTACCTGTTTCACAATCGTGGCCGATGAATCCTTTAGGATATAGACATCGATACCGTTGTTTTGTAAAACCCGACTGACAAGTTCCGGTGTTCTTGCATGGTGATTGCGCACAAAAATTCTTGAAGAAAAACGGAAAAAAAGGCCCGTTACTGAACTCGAAAGGAGAGCCTGTATCAGAGATAAATTTACCTAACTTCGAGGACTAATCCCAGGAGGTTTCTTTAGCATGAATCAACCAAAATGAATTAGCATGGGATTTTGGGCGCCAGATATTCTTCCCAAGGGCACCACAAGCGAAAAGCGCTGAAAGATCAATTAAACCTTTTTGATTTACAATCCCACATACTTACCATTAGGACAATATGTCTTCAAGCTAATATATTTCGGTTTGAATAAAATAATATTTTTATTATTTTTAACTGCCATTTAAATGCATTTTCATAAATTTGTACTTTTATGCTTCCTTTTACCCTGAAGAAGTTTAGTAAACTTGAAGACAGAAAAAATCAATGTAAGATTAAAATACTAACAATTGCATTAACTTTTTACTCGACGAAAAAATTGCAGATGAAACTAATTTTTTTTAATTGTTCTTCATTTAGTTGAAAGAGCTATAAAAATATTTTTCCCATAAAAATCTAAGCTTTCACCTATTTTCTCTTGGGCGACTACAGATGTAAAAGATCGTGGTGAATGAAGAGCTTTCCTTAATGGCCTCGAGCGTCCTTCAGGAATCATAACAAACTTTAGTTTATAAGTAGATAGTGTTTAAGGCGCGCTCTAATTGGCTACTCAAACTCCAAATATCCGTTGCTATTCACCTCTTGGCAATTTGCGCGGGATTCGCGCCTGAAAATGGTAATCATGCAGGAATAAATTTGCTAGAATCATTTTTCTGTGTATCATCTCGCTGTTTTAGCATACACTAAAACAACTATTTACCTCAGTGTCGGCGGCCAGCGGTGAATATTTACCCTGCCACTTCGCCACCACCAGCCATTTCCACTCAGGTGAGTAGTTGTTAAGTATTATTTCGAACTAAATCTACAAGAGATAATTAATGGCACCGCCCTTTATAGCACTTAATAGAAATAATGCATGATTTGTACATAATCCTTTCTAAATACGATTTTAAAGAATATGCCTTCAGCGCCAATTCAATGCTAAAAGCCAAAGAATTGACATTGATATGTAATAGCTCGTACATTCGTTCCGTGGTATACGTAGCTCGTTGCTTTCACCAGATCCCTCTCGTGTTCTTTACCCGTTGAGTTATTTAGTTCACAATTGTGTGCTTCTGCTCCATTTTGCCCAAAGTAAAAGTTAACACTGACACAGTTATAGTGCAGGTAGCAACGATATTCACACGTGTCCCTGTCAATCACACTGATGTTTACTATGGTGTGGTTAATTAGACGTTCTCCTACGAAGAACAGAGTGGATGGAAATGCTAAGATACGGCATTGATCTAAAAAGAAAAGTCAAGAAAACATCAAATTACTTTAGTTCTACTCCTTTGAGACAGTTTTAGATGTTGCTAAGCATGCTAATCGGAGATGACAACACGCATATAGATTATTACAATATTTGTGTGGATTCTCTATAGTAATAACTAGATACCGAGGTTTAACGGGTAGTAGAGACAGTGTTTGCATCATGGGACATCAATCGCTTTTTCGATTTGGTAAGCTTGTTCGCTCGACCTCCAAAAAACCGATCAACAATTTTCCAATACAAATGTAAATTTGAGAATAAAGACAGACCGACACGGACTCTCCGTGTGGCTTTTGTGGTCGCGTCGCATTGTCGCCTTCAAATTATATTTTTGCTCTCACAAGCAAGTCTCTAGGGGATTTTCCCTTTATGTAGGAGACTGTCGAAGGTTTTGAAGGAATTGTTTTCAGCCAGGGCTGATCATATATCAGACTCCAATGTTCTATCAATATTTGTTTAGAATTTTTAACTACCGGGTGAAACGTTGCGAAAGAAAGCCAATACTTCGTGACCTTTTGGCCTTTGCATATGTGTAAGAGCCGATTGCCTAAAGGCAAAGTTGACCCCTGACAGCGACCTTTCTTTGTTTTCTGGGTACCTCCTTACTTTGAGGAGTTGTTTGAGTTTCAAAAGGCCCTCTTCGGGAGTTTTTTTCTGAAGAGTAAGTTCTAAGCAATCTTATTGCATTGAGGCTTTTAATGAAACCATATTTTACGCCTGGTGGGTGGCACGAGGCGAAGTGCATAAATTGGAAGGTCTCGGTCGGCTTGTAATGGGTTTTGATGGGTTCTGATTATCTTTCTTATCTTTAAAGACATTCATTTCTTGGTTGCACTTTTCGTTACTGCAACGATAGTCTGCCGTCTTTGGTGGTGAGATATCGTTTTCGTCTTCATTACCAAGACTTGGTGTAAGGTATTCCGCCAGAGAGTTGTCAAAAGCAAACATTGTTGCAATTGTTTCGACTCTTCACGAGTCTCTTCAGCTGTTGTTTGAAGATGGTTTTGCAATTGCAAAGACTTTCGGAAGATAGGGGGGTGTTCTCAATTCCGTTCTCTGGTGGAAATTGCTTCTGCGACCTCTCTATAGATCGATCGGCTTGAGGGTCGAGTTTGTATTATTTCTATTTGTCCGTTGTGCTGGTTAGGGAACCAATCAGGGAAACGCGAATTCTATCCTAACCGATCTGAATGTAAGATTGCGTTTTTAAGAAGGCCTTTTCTGCTGCATAGTTCGCTAGAAAAGCTACCAAGGCGCATAACTGAAATTCGTTACGGTATGTTTTAATCCCCTTAAAAAGGAGGAGCTTTTTAAAGCATTTTAAAGCCTTTTAATCATTTAAAAATATTCTTTTTAAGCTGTATTTTGCGTTTTGTGCGTTTGTACATTAAATGACTATGCACGCTTAAGTGGTTGCACATAAAGGAAGGATTCTGTCTGGAAAATATCAACATGAGAATAAAGGTAAAGACAGGCCGACACGGACTCCCCATGCGGCCTCTTTGGTCGCGTCGCATTCTCGCCTTCAAATTATACTTTTCCTCAATTTTTCAATTAATCAATTTGTTTGTTGGGGACGTACAGTTTCAATAACGATATTACAAAAAGCCTTAAAAAACTCTATTGAAGTTAAGACCTTTCTTAAATATTGGAAGATAAAAATACATATTAACTCGATGATCAATAATATGACAATAATTATCGCGAATACCCTACCCACTTTTCGACTAGAAAGATTTCCCTGCTTAGTCAATATTATGTTATTTTCATACTTGAAGTATTTTCTTTGTCTACACTGTAAAAATATTTTTGGGTTTATTTCTTTAATCTGGAAAATTGACTCGTCAGCTCCATTTTGTGCAGACCACAGAACAAAGCGAGGTCCTACAAACACGGAAGAAAAGATTCGAATGCCGAGTTTTAATCAACACGACAGATGACGCGAAAAAATTATTGCGATGGAAGTTCGGTCAAATAGCCAATGCCAAACTATTTCCACTGATTATGTAAGATTTTGTTATTTCTTGATTCTGTCTGGCCCATTGAAATATCAATGGATCTTAAATTGCGAAACTCGTTTCTTTTGAAAACATTACGTGAGCTTTGTTGGACTTTTTTTTGTAACGAAAATATGGTAAACTGAGTTACCGCAGTGACGAGTGTGGTACTCTCCTCTCCAAAAATTTCTTAGAAGGACAAAAGAAGTGAATAAGGAGAGAATTTTCCCTCATAAACAACAAAAAAAGACTAAAAAGTAACAAAGCATTTAAATTATGCAAGTAGTTTGAGGGCTCCATCAATTAAGCCTTCAGTTTTAAGTCTCTGAAATGATGCATTCCAGTTTTAGTAAAATGCTTAGGATGATTTACTAACAGAGACAGAAAAAAAGGTTTATCCAATTTCTTAAAGCAAGAAAGTAATCTTACCATCCATGCAGGATAAATTTTGTTCAAGGTTAAAAACCAGAGAGACGAAAAACATATAGAGCCAAAGTCCCATGTCTTCAAGACCCGGCCAAAGGGAACCTTTGTGATGTTTGAATGATATTTGACAACAATCCACTGATTAAAATCGCGCTGCCTAGGTAAAAGAGGGGTATTTTTACTTCCCTTATAAGGTAAACTGATAGTATATTGTTTTGCTTCATACCTAAAATAAATTGTGATGTTTTTTTCCTGTTTTTTTCCATCTGCTATCTCTATCTGTTGACTCCGCTTTCCCACCTACATTATTTCCTACATTCTCAGTTATATTTTTGTTAACGTTATACTTATGTTCTGGTACTATTTTCATTCACCATAATTCAAATTCTGTTAGATTTTTTTTTCCGCACAATTTTTTTTTTCTTGTTTTTAACAGCTTCAATTCAATTTTTCTTTTTGGTTTTTTTTCCATCTGTTATTCTTTATCTGTTGCCTCCACTTTCCCACATACGTTACTTCCTACATTCACAGTTACATTTTTTGTTTTGAATAAACATTATCGCTTTTGTTCTCGCATTTTTTCATTCTTTTTGTTTTGTTTTTAAAAGCTTCATTTTGAATGTTCAGCAATTAAGTTTAAGCTTTCGAGAATTCAACATTGGTTAATGTTTGCATGGTAAACTAGCAAAAAACTCGGTGTTTTTTTGGTTTTCCCATCACTTGTCTGCGTGTAGAGATATCATAGGGAGAAGTTACATGTTAATTACCCCTTGAAGTGGAAGGGTTAACTAAGCTTAACCAAGCACGTAGCAATGAAAGGAAAATAGCTCCGGTCCGTGAACTGACTTTGGTATGACAGTGACAAAATCAAATTTTACTGTTATGATTTATTTGTACCAAAGATTAAAAGTTTAATTCGTGACTGCCTTCCACGTTGACGTCAACTACATCTACCGTCATAATAAGCTAAACATGTTTCTTTATCAAGTCCCAAACTTTTTTATCCTAGAGATATTTTTCAAAAGCTTGATTAAATACGAGGCGCTAGAAGACCAAGACTACGCTGATAAAATGATTTAAAATTCAGACTTTGCAAACTGTTTAAAACTCGACAATGTCCTCTGGCGTTCAATTTTCGTGGGTCGATGATGTTATTTTTTTACCTGATCCTTTTGGTCTCTTAAAACTGTCGACATATCAACACTGTCATTCATAATCACGATTAACACAACGACTAGACAATTCTAATTTCTGATTTGATGGCGGTAACCGGAGCCTGAAGAAGAAGGCTTCAGTGGAGATAACTGTTAAAACGGCATGAAAAATCTTTTTACCGCTGGTTGTGAAAAAATTAACCTTTAAAATGTTTCTGATGACTACACCGGTAAGAAATTGACTTTAGTCGTTAGCCGTAAAAGTCATCATCCCATCGATACCCCCGAAGAACTATCTCGAAATTTTTAACAATGATATCATAATTATTTGAATATCGCGTCTAGTCTAAACATGGCGCATGCATTTATTCACCGTAGCAAACTACTTGCTATTAATTTCTAAACATTTGTATTCGACATGCAAAAATCAAGCGTTGGATTCCAAATCCATGCCCATATTTTAGTGATATAACGTAGCAGCCAGACTTTGTATTTCTTTATCATTTGAAAAAATAACTATTTGATGGAAATCGAAAAGAATGAAGGAGAATTTCAGAGAATAGCATACACCCTCTCCTCCCTTTCCCCAAAAAGAGAAAAGATTCAAATGAAAAAATCCTTTTTAAAAGAGCCTTTCCGAAACGACTTGTACTGAATCAGTCATTTCCAAAGTCGAAAAAAAAATTCAAGAAACTTTGAAAACTCTGCTTCTTTGTCATTCAGTGACATGTGGGTGAGCAATTCAAGCCGCAAATTACAAAAAAATTCACCCGATCAAGAGATTATAGAGGAGCACTCTACGCTGGCGTCTTCGTAGTGTACACAATTATGATTTCCCCATCCACCATGGTTGCACTCGTCTACGTGTAACTCGTATCCTGAGCAACGAATATCATCAATCCATATTTGACCAGAACCTTGTCCATGCGTAGCCCTTCTAAAGGCTTGGGTGGCTGGAGGGAGACCGAGTTGTCTGCAAACTACATTAGCATCGTTTATGTCCCACCTGTCGTCGCAAATTGTTCCCCATTGGCCGCTATGGAAAACCTCAACCCTTCCAATCAATGGTGAGCCGCCTTCCATCAGGCGGATTGTGTCAACAGCTATAAAAAGATGACAAACGCTTCATGCTACACAAGTCAGAATACCTCTTACAGTAGTGGGATGGCTAGACCTCTCACCTATTAAACTATACTAGCCTATCAGCTAAGACATAGTGGAAAATTAGTTCTTATTAGTTTTAATTTGTTAATAATTGATAGTTTCAATCCATTTCAAGTTTTTTTACACAAACCCCACAAGGTCGTAGCTTTGGTTTTCATAGTATATAAATAAAGGTGTTATGTACGTATATGCAGATGATTTGCTTGGACGCATTTCAATCTAACAAATATTTAAGAACGAGTGTCTGTAAGAATCAAGCAACTTGGGAAATGGAAATTTTCAACCACCCTTCAAATTTTGCATGCAGTTAGGTACCCCGGGGGAATGCACAAAAATGCCTTTTTTTTAGAGGTTGCAACATTTTTGTTGCCATGGTAACAATGAATTATTGTTATTGGTGAAAGGCCGTACTTACAAACAAAAATTTGCCTAAAATGTAAATCTCTCAATCTCACGTCCATTTAAACGATACAACTTAATACTTACAGCACACTTAGTTATATTGTTCATCTTTACTGTGGTACATTCAATTTTTCATGAGCGGCTGTTTTCAATAGAAGAATTCTTGACCCCGCAACAAATTAACTAGTACTTTTCTCGCTTTGCGGCCAAACGAAGGCAGCTCAGTGAATCGGAAATTGACGCAGTTCAATTAGAGAATGCTGTAAGGGAGGTTACCGAAGATGTCATAATTGCCCCACAGTAAGAATCAATTAAGTTCGATCATCCAATCGTGTTCAAGGAGTTCAAAATATGTGAGATGTCGAAGGTTGAACTGTCCATGCTACACTTGACAACGCTCAAGGCAATCTCTGAAGAATTCGACTTGCAAGTCTCAGGACGGCGAAAGGCGTCTTATGTTGACTGTGTTGTTTCTTTTGTCAACAGCTTACCCCGCAAGGCTACGTAAGAGTTGCAACTCAAAGTAAAGGTATTACTACCGTCGTGTACATGGTCGTGGAGCATATGTTGTGTCGATTGTAATATAGGCTTGTTACTAAAGATAGTCTTATCAAATACATTAAGGCAAAAAAGAATAAAAGCGGCAATATTTTGCTTAAAGAACTACAGTGGCAAATGGTCAAAACAAATGAAGAGACAGCAGTGAATCCCTAGTGACAAACATACTCCCTAAATCAAATCCGCTGAACAAACGTGGTTTCTACTTTCGTCTAGGGTGAGTGGATTTCAGGGTCAATCGCCCCTTTTAAGAAGGTGGTTTTTGATTTTTCGTTCTGTTACTTACCAGAACTTAGTTTTTATCTTTCGAGATAATATCTAGGGTGGGAAACCTACTATGAAATGCTCCTAAACATTTCATGCTTGGTCGCTGGCTCATTGTTGAAGTAGCTGTCACTTTTAGGTGGAATTGTCGGCTGAAATTGATATTTTTAGCGAGCCAGTAACCTCTGACGATGAACACTAGCGAATCAATAGCCCGAGGAAAATATAACTTCCTTTGAAGCTCATTTCAATGATGATTCCTTGCAGAAAGGAACCCATGCAATAAGCCTAATTATGAGACTGAGAGTTCACGGTAAGCTTTACTTTGACTGATGTAAAATTACGGCTAGAAGCGATAGTTTCCTGTGAGACATTGATCATGTTTGTAAGTACAGCCTTCGGCCAAGAGCAATCATCCATCGTCACCATGGCAACAAAAATGTTGCCATTTTTGTGCATCCCCCGGGTACCTAACTGCATGGAAAACTTGAAGGGTAGTTGAAAATTTTCCTTTCCCAAGTTGTTTGATTCTTACAGAGACTCGTTCTTAACTGCGATAGTCTGTAACTTTCGAACTTTCGTTGGCCTCTTCATTTTCGTCATACGTTATGGTTCTAATCACGAAATGGATATTAAAAGGTTCCAGTTATTTTTGCTCGCCAAAAAAACAGGAAAGTGCACTTGGTATACCCATACTTTCCCGCCAATATGGCGGATCGAAGGTGATCTTTTGAATTCAACTCAAGTCTCAGAATCTCGTGATATCCGTGAAACGATCTTCCCTTCCCCTTATTTATTTATTTTAAAAAAACATGGCAAATGTCTGGTTTTAACAATATGTGATCCCGACGTTCTAAGGTCGCTTTAGGCCCCCTTGAAAAAGGAAAAATTTACCCTAACTTAGTAACCGAATATCTCCAGTGTTACCTCAATCCAGGAGTTATCATTTACTGTGAAGAACGTTTGTTCATAGATAAACATGTTTCGTAAACAAAAAAATAGGGGAAATGAAATGGTCAAGGAAAAAAAATTATCAACCCGTAATGACCTGGCTATGTTTGGGATTTGGTCCTAAAAGCTCTTAGATCAATTTACGATCAGAAGAAAACGGTTAAAGTACATTTATCATCCGGAAAGTTTCCTAATAGTATGGAAATATCTTTTGACTTAACATAAATGTGATGATGTTCAAGCAAAATTGTCGCAACGGTACGATTTAAGGTAAGTAATTGAATTAAACAAGCCACGCGCAGTTACCCTCAGAGTTTAATTCACTTACCGTTTTGAGAACAAAGGATTTTGTGAAAGAAACATTCTCATCAATTCTTACATACTACTGGTAAAAGCATTTGGCCATTTATTTGAATTAAATCACTGCAAACTTAAGATTAATGATGTAGTACTTACAGGTCGCGCAACCGGTTTCGTAAATGATATGCAAATTTGTCATGTTTTGCAAAAGGAGTCAGTTTACAATTTTCTCAAGTTTGCATTAAAGAAAAACGCCAACCTTTGGCAAATCAGTTAGAGTAATTTTCATTTATATCAAAAGTAAGCCTTAAATACCAACGTAATACACTCTGGCAGTGGCCACACACACGAAACGGAATGTTGTTTGAGATAGACATCAACTTGAACCCATGAGAATGCATAAGCAATCAAGTTTATTCTTGAGTCTAAGGGTGCGTTCCTTTGGGAGGATTCGGATTTGGATTTATGATCCAAGATCACACAGATCACGGTGCATGAAAGGAACGGAGTTTTAGAGTGCGTTCCTTTGGGAGTATGCATATGGGTTATTGAGCTCTTCCCTAAATGGCTCGTCTAACTGCATGGGCTTTTAGCACGCACTATTCATTAGAGGCTCATTTTTTCATGGTAAACTCAAACGTTGGTATTAAAACATAAGCAAGTATTAATTAAGATATGGATACTTGGGAACCCTGAATGCCTACGATCAGTGGCCGATCGATTTAAATTTACAAAATCGATTTTATTTTGTGTTTATCGCGGAATTTGTGGAGCGATTGCCAACCATCTTCCCGGTCTTCCTTCTACTTGTTTGAAATTGAGCACCGCTGGGCGAAATGATTAATTTCGGATCCTTCGCCCAAAGGAACGCGTTGGATCAGTGATCCAATGAATCCTTGTCCAGAGTGGATTTGACAGATCACTAATCTGAAAATGGATTTGCTCGAAAGGAGCGCCACAGATCAGAAATCCTGATCCGGATTCTCCCAAAGGAACGCAGCCTAAAAATGGAAATTTATTGCTTTATTTGGTGATCCTGTTTAGATAAGGTTCGTCGTTTTTTTATCATTTCACTCTTCTTCATACTTCTTTGACAGTTTTGCCCACAACAAGTTCAAATATTGAATTTTGTTTCGGTTTTGTAGTGAACACTGAGATGTCGGTTTCATTGAGGTAAAATATTGGAAAAGTTCTCGTTTTTAACAGAAAGCCAAACTTACTATGTCTTTGATTAACTTCCCTTTTAATTCAGTTTATTTTCCAGTTCTTTTGCATGAAGAGAATGCTCTAGGATAGTTTCGGACATACCGTGCAGTAGAGCGAGTGCATATCCCTTTTACGATGTACTCGAGACATAAAGCCTCATTTATGGGGCTTAAACGTTGTTGATGCGTCTTTGAGAAGTGAAATTCAATTACAGAGGGCTGACATTTGTCTCAGTACTAGGTACTGAGACAAATGTCATGCTTATGCATTGACCAATTCGAAACTTCAACTTCTTTCCCCCGTGGGAATTGAACTCTTGAGAATTAGTTCTTCAAATTCCAGCCCAAAATTATGTTCGGGGCCAAAATTATGTTCGGGGCCAAAATTATGTTCAAAGGCCCTACTCAAGTTCATTTGTTTTTGGAAAAGGAAGAGAATTGGAGTGGAGAATTTCAACCGGAAATTTCAAGTCTTTCTAGAGGATTAAAGAAGTAAAGGTCTGCAAGGTCTAGAGTTTTAAAGCTCGGTAAATGAGTAGAAAGTCACGGATTTGAATTTGTTTTGTCGATTTGACAAACTTTTCAAAAGCGATTTGTCTAAAAGATATCGATTTTGAATATTTTTTCGGATTTGCAAAATATTTTGGATTGTCCATTTTCGGCTTCCGTACCTCTCTCGTTGCCATCAAAAAATATATTAAATATGGTTTCTTAGGTGATGGGTCTTAACTTCCGTTTTCTCTACAACCGACAGCTCAGTTATGAACAAGGATTCAATTCGAATACATAGTTTCATTTTTCATATAGATTAGGTGTAAAGCTTGTTTAAAGCCATCGAAAGACGTTTTAAAACATATCCTTCAAGAACAGCCCCTCAAAGCAAAATAGATCTTAGAGCAAACTCAAATAGCGATTGCGCGCATTCCAACGAGGTGATGTTTATTCAAACAACACTCATTTCAAGTTTGTGCCCCTAATAACGGCGCTTCATGTGAGCATTTTGCGCATACCGTTGGTGAAAAAAAAATTGCAAGGAAGGGTCCTGAAAGGTTGGTTTTCCTTTAAACTGATAAGAAAATTGAAGCATACGAAAAACGAAATTAAGACCGACTCAAAAACGTAATGTAATTTACGTAATATCTAACGAAGAATATCTAAATCGTTGGCGTGACAAGGAGGATTAACTGCAAATGTAGCTTACAGGCTCAGATTTTGAGCAAGTCACTAGCCACCACCAAATAAATTAGGTTGGAATACACAAGAGCCTTTTTTTTGTCGAAATTTTTCGTTCTCAAAACGGTAATTAAGCGAAATCACAAGGTCACTAAGAATAACAACAAACGGAATTTAGCATTGAGCTTTAAAGATACCTCGATGGTGCATCTGCTGAGGTTTGAAAGGCCCAAATTTTGCGTTTGGCTATTGTCTAGTCTTCGTGGATATCTCCTTTTGATTCCTCGGTGACTACTGAAGCTCATTTACTTTCCTTCTGCTTTATCACTCTAATAACTCTTTCGGTAATCATTGAGTTTAACTGATGTCTCCAAAGAATATCAAATCACATATCATGGCCTTTTAAACAGATACACAAACAAACTTGCATAAAAGACCTTCCCCTTCCCCGTTTCCGTGCTAGACATTCAAGTTTGTATTACAGCGCGAACAATGCCTTACTATTTTGACTTTTAGGGCCATTGATACTACAATCGTCTCCTTAATCTTTTTTATTCTTAAAAGTTTCCCTTTTTTCCAATTGGCGGTAATTTCTCAAGGTCAACAGGAATGAAGATATTCCTTACCGTGGTAACTTGCTGCAAATCCAGACCTTACATTTGAGCCATCACTGGTGAAGATGACAAAAAGCTGATGGGATGAGCTTGTAATGGCTGAGGGCAAAGAATTTCCATGATATTGCCCGATCAAAGGTGAGGACGAGGATCCTCCATCGCACACGTAGACAAAATCGTAACTGCTTTCCGTATCGAATCTGAAAAATATTAGTTCCAGGTTGGTACTGGAAGATATGCTCCAACTGCAGTACATATTGTCGGAGTGGGAACCATCTCTGTTTGAATATATCATTCCACTTGCACTGGATCGAACGGTCAAAACGTTTGCACAGGAACTGGAAACTGTGGCAAATAGCTGATCTGCGACTGAAAAACAAAAGTAAAATAAAACATAGTGGGGTTAAAACGCACATAAAGAAAAACAAAAGCGAATACATTCGCAGAGTCACCTACAGACCGGGTTGAAATTGGGACATAGCTACTTCAATCTCTCTTTCTCATTCAGGATCCACACTCGTCATTTAAATGGCCTTGCTTAGAGTTAGGGCTTCTTTTATTTTGCTCACCATCACCATGTGACAGGAGAGTTGTAGCTGTCTCTGTACGTGTTTTATTGCATTTTCTGTGGTATGTCATAAATATATTCCTTCAAAGTGATATATGTATACATCATGACGACCGCCCTGATTTAATGAAACAACGTGCGTTATCACAGTACAGACGCACGAATAATTGGCATCACGCTGTCGACTCCCTCTTTAATCCCGGCCAATTTTCGGATTTCTCTTCCTGGTTCGTTTTCGTTTGTTTGCTTATTTTTTTAATATATATTGTTGTAGTTTTTGACTCGAATATCTGATATGATCTAGAAAAGGGATATATAATATAGCTTGAACTGTTACAAAACAAGCTGTAAGTAATAGCACAAATTACACAGACACAGAAAGTGTAATTTGGGAACAAAAAAAAAACCAAAGAACCAGAGAGAGTTGTAAAAACATTTCAAGTGCCGAAATTGACAAAAGTGTAATCCCTGACAGCGGTGACAAAAAACACCAAGAAACGAAATGTCCAAGTTTTTTATGCTTTTCAAGCTGAAAGATACGGTAAGTACGGTAGTTTAAAACTCAGAAACAGCTAACACTTGTTTAGTATAGTTTTGTGTTTGAAAACAACACAAAACAAATCAACAATGATTAAATACGTATCCAAGCTGGCGTCTCTGTCAAACATTTTTGCAAGTTTTAATTCTAATTACTCTATGAGAGTAAAAATGCACTCTCGTGTCATCTCTGTTCATTTGGAAAATATAGTTTGTTTTGGAAATTGTATACAAACGAAAGGCAAAATAATGTATTCGTTTTTATAAAACAAATAAAAAAGCCTCGACTGTGCTCTCTTCTGTTTTAAAGCACTAAGGAAGCAGCTGTAAGTAGAGAAAACAATCGACAAGTCTCCTGTTTCTCTCCTACGATACTTTTCTGCTTTAGCTGCTTCCAGTGTACATTATGATAGGACAGAACGCAGTCGTAGCTTCTTTCTTCGTTGACTTTAAATTTTAATTTCCAATAACAAAGCCCTTACTGTGGTAGTTCGCCACAAATCCAGAGCTTGAAACTGAACCATCACTGGTAAAAGTGACAAAAAGCTCGTGAGAAGAACTTGAAATTCTTTGTGGCAGCAAGTCTCCATCATAGCGCCCGATCAGGGGAGAAGAAGAAGATGAGCCATCGTAAACAGTAACAGGATCATAACCTCGTTCAGTTTGAAAACGAGTAAAGGAAAGTTCCAGACTTAGATTTGAAAAAATACTCCAGCTGCAATTCATGCGGTGGTTGTATTTTCCATGCGTGTTAGAGAATATGATTCCACTTGCGTATGATTCCACTTTCAGCAGGTTTGCACATGAACTTGAAGCCGTTACAAAGGATTGGCCTTGGACTGATAAAGAAAAAAAAACAACAATAATAGGCAAGAATTAGCTTATGATGAATAAATGGACAAAAAGCTTAGTGCTCTTAATATCTGTGGTGGACATGTTTATCTTACAGTGGTAAGCAGCTTGAAATCCAGACTTTACGACAGAACCGTCACTTCTAAAAGAGACATAAAGCTGGTATGACGAGCTAGTGAGGCTTCCAGGCAGATTATCTCCTTTGTATTCGCCGATCAAAGAGGAGGAGGAGCTACTGCCGTCGTATACAGACACAGTATCGCAACAGTACTCTGTGTCAAATTTCATGAAAAACAGTTCTATGTTTTCGTTGGCAGACAGATTCCAGATGCAGTTCATGTTGTTTAGGTAGTTTCCAGTGTTGTTTGAGTATATCAGACCGGTTGTACTTGTATCTATCTTCATGAGGTTTGCACAAGTACTTGTGGCTGTCACGGATGGTTGTTCAACTAGAATTAAAACAAAACGATAAATCAGTCACTCCAGAATTTCTTAATCAACCATCAATCAATTAATTTATTATATCCATTTTTAAATTTCTTGTGATCCTTGCAGTCTGATTAGCTTTCATCAATGCAATGTATTCACGAATGGTACCACTTTTTGCTCTAAATCGTATCATTTTCCCAGCCAATGAGGAAGCTTTATTAAAACACAATAACCATCATATTTCGAGACTTTTTTTAAAGTAACCAATCAAATTGCAGGAAAAGGAACAACTTTTGCAACTTATAACAAACTAGCTCAATATTGGAACATCAAAACATTCGTAAAGACTACAAAAAAAGACTATTTGTCCGACTGAATTTAGCGATTTCAAAGTGGATGTAATAAAATGATACTAAACTTCGTGTCGTGCAATTTTGGTCCGAATTCATACTCGTAATTTCAAATCACACGTATTATACCAAATTACACTCCACTCAGTTCAATTTCTATTATTAATCATTCAATCAAGTTATAAATATTTATTACTATAAAGATCAATACCACTATTTTTCATAACCAGCAAACCTACCCGCGCAGGACTGTTCACCGTCTCCTGTATATCCAGGTTGGCAAATACAGTCATATGAGCCGATCACATTTACACATTGAGCAAACTCGTGGCAAGAGTAAGAACCCGTTTGACATTCATCCACGTCTACATTTGCTAACAAAAAATAATGACAGCTTAAGTCAAATTAAGATTTTAATTGGTCAGTATTATGCTTTATCCATCAACGTGTCACTTGGCCCTCTGAGTAAGATTGAAATGTATTCAGTTGTTCAGTTCTAATAATTATCATGATTATCTACAGAGACACGGATTTCTTAAGAAAACATGATGAAAAAAGAATAAAAAATTAACAAATAAATGGTTATGATATTAATAATAATGATATTGAAGGAAGATACTAACTTAACGCACAAGTACCGCCGCTAATTTAATATTCGGTAAGTTCGGTGCAAAGAAAGATTGCTTTTTTCTAAGATGATTATTCCTATTTCTGTTGATATTAGGAGACATAGATTGATCTGCTTCAAAGAAGTCACGAAAAGAAAACTTGAAAACTGAAATATAGGAAGTCTGGATATTCAAAATACCCCAGTCTATATCAAACAGACATTTACTACAACGAGCTGCTTTATTCACGGCTTCCTCTTTACTCACGTTAATTACTACAGATTTCCAACCTGAAGAATTGCGCCAAGGATTGATATTTGTCACCTAGTTTTAAATGATCAATTAAACATCATAGTTGCCAGAAGAAGGATCTGCTAAGCCACTGATAATAGTTGTGTTTTGTTCAGCTTAGTTGAAAACTGAATGAAGTGTATTAGAAAGGATTTTGATTAGTGGTTATCGTACTTGACGCATTACTTTGTTATGATTGTAAATAACCCACGTTGTTCTCAAATTGCTGCATTCCAACTAAGAGCAAAGAGCAGAACTTGAACCTTAAAAACCTGACACACCTGTGCAGAAGTGTTTTCCGTCACCAACATAGCCAGCTTGACACGTGCAGTGGTAGGATCCGATATCATTGACACAGTTCGCTTGTGCATGGCAGGTAAATGAGCCTGACAGACACTCATCAACATCTGTTTTAATATGAAATGAATCTCAGTCACGTCAGAGACATTCATTGATGTTGAGGAAATACGGCTTTGTGGATAAACAAAGGTCAAACTGAGTGACTAGTCTCCTAATAGTCATGAAAAAAACCACATATCTCAATGTACGTACGTATGTACATACATACATACATACATAAATTTTATTTAAATACAAATTTGAGTGTAGCTAAAAAAGCTGAAACAAAGGTCAAACTAAGTGACAAGTCTCCTAATAGTCATGAAAAAAAACACATATCTCAATGTTACAATGACATGCACACATGCATACATAAACTTTACTTAAATACAAATTTGAGTGTAGCTAAAAAAAGCTTATGTCTTCGTGTTGCGTGTAATAGGTACAAATTCCCATAAGAATATAAAATTTACATGCCAATCAAATAAGATATTATTCAAGTATAAAATAAAATAAAATTGCTATCATTGTTTTTTTTTTCCGGTACCTAAGCAATCGTGCATTCCGTTTCCAGTATAACCAGGGAGGCAGCTACAATCATAGGAACCATCTGTATTCACGCACTCAGCTTGCGCATGACAGGAAAAAGACCCGGTCTGACACTCATTGACATCTGTTACATTTGTATATGTAAGCAAAAGGGATTAAGACTACTGAGCATGGTTGCAAACGCACTTTAACGAACGTCGATAATAATAGCTGACACGTCTAGTTTTGCCATGATTATAATTAATCTAAGGCAAATCTCTGAATCTTCAGTAGAAGTGTGACTACAATCCCTAGTTAAAAAACTATTGAGCGGAATTTGAAAAATGGTTTTCCATTAATTAGCCTAGAGACCTTGTCTTAAACTGAAGGAAAAATCTCAGTTTTATTGTAGTTCAAATCTTAGGCCCGGCCCGTTTAGATCGAATAATGTGCCTTAGCACTCTCTTAGAGCCGCAAAACTTTCTTCCATGGGGATACTACAGTTATACGGGATGTTTTATGATATCGGACGTCAAAAGCGAGTCGACAGCCTGATCTGTTGATTACAAGTAGAATAACAAACGAGATTCCATTATCAATCAAGGAAAGCTTGAAAAAAGTAAGACTAGATGCAAAATCACAAAGACTTTTTATATACCTGGACGTGCTTACAGGCCGGGGAATCACAGTGTACAGAAAACGTGCACTGCCTCCTGATGACCAGTCACGTTCGAAAAATGTGGCTATGGATATTATTAAACTATTCATTTTGCAGTCCATCCTACCGTGAAAAACTAAAATTATGTGAAATTTAGGTGTGATTACCTGAGCAGGTGTACTGACCGTCTCCTTCATATCCATTGCGACATCTACAGTCATAGGAGCCATACACGTTAACACAATCAGCTAACGCATGGCAGGAGTATGCTCCTGAATGACACTCATCCACATCTAGATATCTAAGGGTACATATTAAAAAAGGGCAAAAAAGTCATGCGAATAAAGAGCGATATCCCTTTATGTAAAACTATGGGAGTGGGGCATCACTAAATGTTTCCTATCGTTGACGTTCATTCACATACCTGAACAAGAAGTGCTTCCATCTCCAGTGTAACCATTTAAGCACGTACAATCATAAGATCCTTGCAAATTCACACACTGCCCATGCGAATGACACGAATATGACCTCGTTTCACATTCATCAACATCTGAAATAGAGGTGAAAGCGCTAAGATTTAAGGATGTGGAACACAGACAAAACTTTTCATATATTTTGTGAATTGAAATAGCGAAATGTTTTGATACCATTGAAAGTCCTCAGTTCGGTGATTCACGTTGTCGAAATCAGTTAGTGACTGGGAATAACACACTTGAGGTATATGATGGTAGATAGTTCATGACAAATGTGTTTTTGGATTTTCAGGTTTTTTTTCCTGATTTTGTTGGAAACACCTCTACATTGATAGAATGAAAATGCTTACTCCATAAAGGTAAAAATATTGCCTCTTAGATTCCGATAAACGTTTGCAATATTTAAATTTGATATTAACGCTTCAGTAGTTACAAGTGTTTTTAATTGCGTTTCTAAGCTTTTACCTGAACATGAGAGCTGGCCATCTCCTTGGTATCCAGCCACACATGTACAAGCATAAGAACCATGAACATTTACACACTGTGCTCGAGGATGGCAAGAATATGATCCCGTCTGACACTCGTCGACATCTGTTGACATGCATGCACAAGACTTGATTCCAGCATTGCCTTGCACATTTATGCCAAGCTCTTTATTTTTTTTCTTGATTTTGGTACAATCGAGTCCATTTTAATGAGCATTGCTGACATTCAATTTGTACCCGCTTTAAAAAAAATTTATGATGGCCCTCTAGGACTCACTCCAATTCCACCCAAACATCCTTCATAATTCTAAAAACACCTTAGAAAGCCCTGAATAACTCTATTTATAATTTGATGAGACTTGATAAGGGGGATATCCCTTCGGGCGTTTTAACTGCCCATATGCAACGAAAAAAAGCAACAACTAGATAAAAAGATTGGTAGAAGCAAGAATGCAAACCTATCTCATTTGGAATTTTGTTTGCTTCCTTCCTGTTTCTGGCACTGTGGGGTTCTTTTTACTATTACAAATTTTCATAAATGACACATGAGTATTTTCCTCTAGAGAATCTTGGCGAAAAGAGAAAGAGATGACAAAAGAGAGAGATAAGGACATATATCTGTATCCACACTGATACCATATACCTGAGCAAGCATGGCGACCATCTCCTGCATACCCGGGTAAACATCTGCAATCATAGGAGCCTATAACGTTCACACACAGACCTTGGGCATGACAGATATAAGAGCCAGACTGACACTCGTCGACATCTGTTAGATATTCATATTTAAAGTTCGTCAGAGAATAACATACATTTTCCGTTGTAATGCAATATAGCACAGGACCACAGGAAATAAGTGCAGCTTCAGATGGTTTCGAATTTTATATTACGGTTCAGCATGGTAGCTTGTGAACCATCTTGTTTCTCACGAGGAAAAAATTTATTTTCAGTTTATATCTTAACGAGTAGAGTTTTAGTGCAGGCTCTCCTCGAGGGTTTTGCGTTTAAAAAATAGCACGCTCCTTAAAGAATATGATTCCATGATATCTTCATGTGGTACCAGGAAGGAGTTATGAGCTAACTTCGTCATAGAATTCACAGGAAATTCAAAACAATTATTTAGGTTCAATGATTGAATTAATTTGGTCAAGTATACGTACCTGAACAAATGTGAAATTCGTTCTCTGAATAACCTGGCAAGCATTGACAGTGGTACAAACCAATCACATTGCCGCAGTGGGATTGCAAATCACATGAATATGACCCTGACAGACACTCATCAACGTCTTTCCAAAAAAGAGGAATAATAATAATTCGTTACATGTCACTCCCAACAAGAAAAGCTTTGCGACAGAATCATACACGGAGTATGTAGACTAAGTGATATTCAAACCTTGACATGAATGGTAGCCATCTCCATTATATCCCGCTGAACATCTACATTCGTAGGAACCAGGCACGTTAACACAGCCAGCTTGCGCATGACATGAGTATGAGCCTGACGAACATTCAGCTTCGTCTATAGGAAAAGTATATTATAAGTAAAATCATTGAATAGATAAATGAATGCAAAAATTAATATCTAAAAATAGCTATAAGGCAAATGTGGAATCCATGGAGCTATTAATTTGGGCCCCAGAAATGGCTGGACACAACTTTTGAATACTGGAATTTGTTAAGGAGTTTTCTCGACACGTCTGTCATCCGGCTTCTTCTTGGGATAAAAGACATTACAAGAAAAGTCATAATTGAACACCGCCTAGTGAAACCTATTATACTGTTTTCATTGTTTTTCCTCATTCCTTTGCTTTTTACCCTCTATTTTTTAAAGTCAACTGTGATTTCTTCACCAAGAAAGAGCGCGTCAACAAAAATATAAACTGCCCATCTTTTATTTAATTGATGCCCAAAGCATGACCTGGCGAACAAACCTTCACAGACGTCTCCACTCAGGCGGTAGCCAACAGGGCATGCACAGGAATAAGATCCATAATTGTTGACACAATACGCATGCACTGGGCAATAATCTGGAAAGTTCCTGCACTCATCATAGTCTAAATTAAAACAACGGAAATCAAATAAACACTAAAAACAAAAGAAGAAAATACATCAAACGCGAACGAAGCACATCTATATTACCATGTGGTATTGATTAATCGAAAAGTTGTTGCAGTGCCAAACACACCAGAGCACTTCAAGAACTACAAAGACGCAAGGTTAGACAATGCAAGGCTGGTGGAAATAGATTCCACCTGCTGGACTTCTCTTTTAGTGATCAATCTTCCGACTTTCGAAATTCTTTAACCTGGGATATCAGGGAAAGTAAAGCGCAGAAACAACCTACAATCTGGCTGCATTAATACGGAGCCAAATGCAGCCGAGAAATATTTGTTGCAATGCTTTATAGACTTGGACTGAAACTAATCGAACGTAAGCACAGCACAGACGAAAGAATTAAAGAAAGTCACACCTTTCTTGCATGTAAACCCATAACAAGCTGAACAATTTACATCATTCCATTGGAACTTATGGAGAAAGCCAAGAGCATGAACACAGTCCTGGTTGTGAATATTATTCGGTTGGCCGTCAGCCCAGTGATGGAAATCTAAAGCAGTTCGATCGCTCCACACGAATGAACCTTCGTCGTTGATGTCCGAAAGGCCCAACCACGAATGGCGACTGCCATGTAGACTTTGCACAAACACATTTTCCTCATGGCTTTGGATACTTGGTAGATTGGCTGCTAACGAAGCGCATGTTCTTTGGCTATCACTCCAAGAATCGCAAGAGGAGACTTTCCAGTAGCAATACCCATTGTTATAGATCCAGTCATCTTGACAAATGTCTTTGAGCAAAAAAATCATAAAATCGTAAACAGAGGTTACGAGAAAGTTTGTTGGAAAATGATGATTATATTTATCATAAAATAAAATAAAATGTCTTAAAGAAATCTTACCGCGACTCGAATCTACATATTATAATGAGATGCAAACATTCTTAATGCGCATTGTTGTGGTTCTCGGTCAAGAACAGGAGCCGTAAGAACACACAAGTTTATTACAAAGCACACAGAACAGAACTAAGGAAACTAAATCACACCACCAGTGAATAATTATTATTAGGTGCCCATTTTCGTATACAGTGGCTTAGCTACGAGTAATGTGGTAACCGTTGGCCGGAATATAGGTAATATCACGACAAGGATGATTAAAAGACACTCCGGTATCACCTTCGATATGCAACGGGAGTAAGCGGCAAATTATAAATTTTTTAACCTTTTTTTAACGTTATTATCAATATCTATTGGTGTAGTTTTGTTCTTTAGTAGAAACTACTGAGAGTGTCTGTAATTAATTTTCCATTAGAAGAAATGAAATTACTAGTTTAACGAATCAAAAACCTCGCGAGTAAATAAAGAAGTCATATCTGGGAAACGCTAAATCATGCTGACAAGTCGGCGTCAATCTTGTTTTATTTGACGCGGATAACTTGCTTTTATGGGGGAAAACTTCCATAGAGGCGAAACCACCAGTAGCCAAAAGTACATCAAAATGCAAGAATTAAACTATAGTAATAAATTCAATTACCTGTCAACACAGCATATGATACAACCAGTGGATCAAAGCCTTGAACAAACAGTTCCTTAACACAAACTCGTATACTTGACTCGGTAATGAACTGTATTAAAGAAAAGACACGTTAAGAAATGAATGCTGAGAGGATTCTGAACGTCGTGAAAAATGTTCACGTTGTACAGCAAAGGCAAGGCGCTTGCTAAGAGAAACTACACTGGGTTGAAAAGGATTGAAAAGGTCACTTGATAAAACCAAATTATTTTGTTCATTCTTAACCTAATCTAATAAGAAACCTCCCTTTCAGTTACTCACATATTTCACTCTCTTATTTGGCGCCATATGAAAATTCGACTCTTTCATTCTTTACTTTCGTATTTGATTCATCTTGTCACTTCTCAGATTTGTTGCCTGCGTCGTTACCGCTTTCCGTCTTCAAGTAGTTTTGGTTCAGTATTTCAACTTTTCTTTTTTATGATATCTTTTGTAAAAAGCATTAGTAAGACAAGAAGACCCCGTACGTTAGAGATTATACTCAGTAAAAAGCCCTGGTTTCTAAGGAAAGCTCTTTTCTTCGTTGTTTTCTTTTACCTATAGGTATGCACGATGAGAAACGGGGTTCTACAAGGGTATCTCTGAGTAGAGCACAACTGAAAGCTTCGAAATGAAAAAAAGTGTCATTTTGCCTCGCGTATCTTCACAGGGAGAATTACAGTGATCACCCCGTTCTCTTCACTAGGAAAATCAAATTAAACGGCGGTCACACTTGCAAGCAAGTGTTATTTTAATACCTCAATCCAGTTGGCAATTCCATTGCATTCTGCGGCAGTGTCTCCTACATTTGTGGGGTGTGTTGCTGTAATCAAAACAGTCGGTGGTTTACTGTAGTTTTTAATAAGGGCTGCCTCCTGTTGATCAAAAAGTCCTTTCAGGACACATTCGTTTAAAACGTACAGAGTAGGTGTGAAGTAAATTCAATTTTTTTAGATTTTATCGTCAGCTTACGGATTTTAGCCACAAATTTGTTGCAAAGAAATAATCAAAAACTGCACACATAAACATGGTGGCAAAGCCTCTTTTCACCTACCTGGTAGTTATGGTTTGGGTGGGAAGGAGGGAGAAGGAGGCTCAGTAGGCCAATGATTCCTTGCCAATGTAGGTTGAGTTATTGCCCTTTTAAGCTCTGAAGATCAGGGATTGTTGGGCTCTTCAATTCTTCCGAAGATTCAGCCACATTAGGCTTGAAAGTTTTCAGTCTGTTTGCTACTAACCTTACTTGCGGGAGATCCTCGCGGTATATAACGCTGACCTCAAAACCTTTATTAGTTATGAAAATACTTTACCATTTATATGCGTCTTATTTCTACCTGACAAAAAGCGAAGTTGTGATCTGCCGATGGTAAACCGCCATTGGGGAAGGTTATACTGCCGTGCTCCTTAAAAAATGGCTTAGGGCAATGCTGAAAGACTAGCCAATGCTGCGAAAGAGTAGTACAAATATGAACCTGATGTGCACCTTTTAGCAACATAAAAATGTCTTAATGCAGGACACGAAATGTCCTCTTTTTTTGGCATAATTTGAGGAGTTAGCTGGTTGTTTTGGCAGAGTTTGGTTTGGTTAAGTGAAAATCATCCTCTTACGCGAAAGGGCAGTGATGAAATTAAACATGTTAGCATAAATAACTCAGTCAAAACGTCCGGTACAAGAGCAAACCGCCTTCGAACGTGTGATATTGACTACTATTCGTTAAGGAGAGTTTCTAAATTTTCACATACTCAATTCTTTCCCCGCTTCCATGTGGATGTAAAACAAAAACAACGTTCAAATAGCTTTTATATAGTTTACCACTGAGATATCATAGTGAACTCCAGCAAAGTTTTTAAGCTCCGTGAGGCAAATCCTGAAAAAGCTAGTTGAAACATCTTCAAGCCAAACACTTGCAGCATCGTGCATTAATCCTGTCCTGTAATGCTGAGCTGTTACAAGAACCGTTGGTGGATCAGAATATTCTTCCTATTAAGAGTTGGAAACAAATGTAAAGTTTTATTCTCAAGATAAGATATTTGAATGATATTATAATCAGATAGCATTTTCACCCCTCGCTTTTAAAGCACGAATTTGAGATCTGCAGGAATTATTCAGCTCCGTTCTGGACACTCACCGCAGGAAGAGTGACTCTTTGACAAGTAGTTCTAGTCCACCATCTGGAGAACTTCTCTTCTCCCGTTATTCCACCAGGCGGGGCACCTTGATAAGCAATCCAATCTACTGTAGCGATACTGTTCGACGGATTGTCATTCCTACCAGCGCGAGTAACACAGGCTGTAAACTGGGTGGTATTTAAGTTCTCAACCCAAGATATAGTGGCTTCGTGAACAAACGTGGTGTTAGAATAATTAAAGTGGTTAACGGTGAGTTGAACGTATATTTTGCTGTGGGGGTAAAACACAAATTGCTCAGATTTGATAATGTCACATTGATCTTCTGCCCAGGAAGGAACATTTTGGAACTGGTGCCTTCCTTTCAGGTACGGAAAACCTGAAATGAAACATAAAACATAACTAGCGCCTTTAAAAATTAAGATGGTTAGGGGTATTGTTTGTTTAAATAGATACTTAAGGTATTCTTGACGGGTGGATGCTCTCGCATTTCTCTTATCTACCAAATTATGCCTGCAGTGCAAACAATGCTACTTTGTAAATGTATGTGTGTCTGCGTGTTTGTATCTTTGTCTATATTACTTTTCGTCTGCCTGTCTTTAAGCCTTTACGCTTGATGGAAACTGTGGATGAAACAGTAATCAAACTTTAAAAGGTTGAAGCTTATTTATTTGAGATACCTGTGCAACTTCCGGGATGATAGACAGTATAATTCGCTTTTGTTTCACATATCTCTTTTTTCAGCATGCATAGATTCCTGAAAGTCCGGCCATTAGAAGCACAGATTTGTTCTTCGTATGGTGGGCAGCTGCTGTTATAAACGCATGTAAATTGATGCGATGACAGGGGAACACAGTGCGCGAAGTAGTCGCAGCTCCTATTTGGGCACGGGTTAATATCTGCAAAAGAAAAAAAAGCAGAATGTTTCAGGTTAGCAAGAACAGCGTCCGTGGCGAGTACCTGCAGGTCAGAAATTCTCGAGATTACGTTCAGTTCAAAAGTTTTGATAAGCACAATGTTAATGTACTTCCCATCGGCAATGGTAAATTATTATCTCAAAATGTAGCACTTGAATGGAACAAAATATGAAAAGGAACAAAATATGAAAAGGTCACAATTTCATTTATTTAACGAATTATTTTGAATCCAATTGAGATAAATAGAGCATGAAAGTAATGAAAAAAAATTTCCTAGCGAAATATTTAACAGGCGCAAAAAAATAAGAAGAAAAGAACCTTCTTGCTCAGAGAGATTACCTTGACATTATTCTATAAAGGCAACTTTACCTCTAACCAAACAATAATCGATTTTCTCATAGAGCACATGCTGTTGTCGTCGCTTCTCTGACGCTCATTACCACAAGCAGTTGAGAGTACAACTGGTGGTGTGTAAAACGAAGTCATAAAGCGCTCAATCTGAAAGATACAAGCAGTAGCAAACTCTTCGTTACTTTGATTTGAAAGGTTGCCAATACAGGGAAGAAACGAAGAAAAAAGCCAGATAAATGAATTGGAAACTTAACTCGCATTGATGGATGAAACAGACGAAAATATCAGCACAAACTAGAAATGTGATGTTTTTTAAAGCCACCTCATCTCCTTATTGAAAAAATTAAGACAAAAACAGTTTAATTTATAGAAGAGCAATAAAAAAACTTAATTTGGCAAGAATACCTTGCACAGCGCGTAGTTTGTTTCTTCAGTCGGTACTTCATCCTCAAAAAACATGACTTGTGCTGACAGTTTTTCTCCCCATGACGACGGGTGATTATATTCATATGCCATCCAGTTCTAGCGAATGAGGTTAAAAATATAAGCATCACAAAATCTTGGCTGATATCCAATATTCATTTAGATATAAGGATAATAATCGTGATAATAATCAAATAATTTTGATAATGATGACGACGACGACGATGATGATGATGATTTTTTTAATTATAGTCATCATTATATTAATAATTATTTTTAAAAAAATAACGAGAAGGGTAATGATAAGGACACACGAATAACCCAAGTCGTAATTAGCAAAATACATGTTGCTACATTATTATGTTTAAAATAGGCTAAGAACATATGGCTCACCACCGTTAAGTTTCTATGAAGTCCTTCGAATTTCCTCGATTCCTTTAAACAGACTTCAAATTGACTCGTGGATATGCTTTCTAACCACACAATTGTTGCGTCTTTCCTTTGGTTTGGAGTATTATGAATAGCTGTCACGTGAACTTGGGGCACCAATGAAAATGCCTATATGAGGTAAATCGCATATACATTAAATTTTTTTCAAGGGAGGAAAAAAAGTCCTGTACTGAACTGTTTTTGCTTTTCTTCACCTTGTGACTGGTCTATAAAGCTTGCGTCAGCTATTCGACTACCCAATAATCGCAACTTACCCCAGCGCGTTTACCAAACCCCAAGGGGGTTGTGTTTTTAATTCAGTTGCAGAAAGCTTTCATTGTAACCCATACATTTCCATTTATTTTTAATGCGCACTCAAATTTATCCTCTGACATGGTTTATTTTGCTTGATCTCCCAATAGTTTTTATTATAATCCTTCAATTGTTTTTGCTTTTGCGCCGTTGGTCTCGATACATCACGTCCCCAAGGGAAAGTTCATATCTCACAATTTTTCTGATGCATTTCAATTTTGCCCCTTTCGACTCCTAACCAATCAAAATTGAATTCAAAATCAAACAAGTAAATAAATAGATGAAGACATAAAGTAAGTATTGATCATGATTGGTGTTAAAATTCCATAAATAATCTGGGGCATCTGTTATGGTGTAGATGTTTCTTTTCCTGGCTTTAAATCTTAGACAGGGCAATAATGATTTCTTTTCGGGTTACCCTTCAATTTCATTAAGTGCCGGAGATCTTAGAACTTCCCTACGCTTTGCCTGGGCCGGTCAGATTTTTGTTTGACCTTAGCTAACACAGGCGAGCGGAAAAGAGCGTCTCGCTCTGTTGTCAGTGCAAGGAAATTACATATTTCACAGGATTTATCGGACCATGTTGTGTCTGAGTATGTAATAATAACAAAACAAAACCGGATTAAAGGCACAGGCGCAAGGTTTATTTTTATAATATCCTAACAAATTCGTGCATCAATTTCTGATTGAATTTGCATTCCATATTGGTCTTCGCTATTATGTTAAAAGTGTTTTCCGATGTTTTCACGATTGACTGAATGATAGCTGACTCCCTCTCCGTCTCTAAGGAAAGAGGCAAGTCTTATCAAGACAATTACAAATAGAGCTTTTTTTAGGTTATTCGCAGGGATGTGCATATTTGTACAGCTTTCTTTCATTACATTATTTTATTCATTTACTTATTTATTTTTGTATTTTAAATTTTTCAAAGAAAGATTTTGCCAATGTGAATTTTTGAACTATGCCACTCGATCGGGAAATAAAAAGAAAAACGAGCATAGTCCAAGAAAACGGTATATTTTTAAGAGGCGATTTCTGTACCCTTAATTTCCGTGCGCGCTATTTCAATCTTTTTTCAACTCATTCTTAGGGGGGATTTCGACAGCTAAGGATGTTCTCTAAAAATTCAAGCAAATAAAATAACTTTAAAAAGTTATGTACTTCGAGAGTCTTCGATGATGAGACAGCAGTAAACCAAAAGGAATACGCCTCTCTTTGTGGAGAAGGACATGGTTCGGTGCTGAGATGTGATCACCACAGACCAGCGATGAAAACTGACCCAGACAAATATGAGAAAAAGTCTTTATAAGAAATATAATTAAATATGGAATGACAGCTGACTAATCTTGTTTCCCTAAGGAAATCACTCAAATAATTTTTTTCATTTATTTCTATAGTTATCATTTCCTGCCTGCCGATACTTTTGATGAACGGTTATTTTTATTTGGGTCTTATCACTACGGCAACTTTGCTCAGAAATGATCTTCGTTAAGCGATTATATGGTGATCATAAGGTTACATAGATGAACGAAGTTTCTCCGATTTTCTCTGTTCTTATGAACTCAGACATTTGAAACGTTTGGCCTGAAGTCGCACCGCTGATAGATGTCGTTTTTAAGCGAGGGCTGGTAAAATCTCAGAGATCATTTAATTATCTGTGTTGTTCCGAATTTTTATGAACGTCGCCGAGCAAGTTATGAGTATTATTGTTCGTTTTTCAGACTGAAACTAGAAATATGTTATAAGTTTGCGTGTTTAATAAAATTATGAGATTAATAATAAATGATAATTGTCATGTCTGTGATTAAATAAATAAAAAATAGCGATAGAGTAGAGATAGCTACTTTTGTCAACATAAATTTAAAGTGGTTGACATAGAGACAAAGGTCACAACGAAATAACATTGCGATGGGCTGGTTATGTTATTCCGCTCCTTCTTCGTTTTCCTTTTCCTCGCAGTCTCTAATGATGCACATGCAATGAAACGCTGATCAAATTCAGGTTATTAATAAACATATCATGCGAGAAATTTGCTTCATCACTACTATTTTTTCACAGTGCATAATACCTCCTTTTAAAAAATGTGATGCGTTACCAGTCACGCCAACCTCACACCCACAAGAAACTTGTTGAAGTCGTTTTAAGAGTTTGGAAGGAGTTCGAATCGCTATTTTTTTTTCGGGAAATACAGGACGGATATCCTTTTTTTGTAAGAGAGTTATCTCTATATATGATCAAAAGGTAACAACTTTTCACTGAACTAGAGGTCGCTAGTGCCGGATATTTACCGAACCGCAAAGCTGCGAGGTAAATATCGGCACCGCTTTCGATCAATACTGATGTGAACATTTGTTTAAGTATATACAAAAAATACAGTTCGTTCACTCAGTTTGTGAACCAAGAGCGGTTTAAAGAATATCAAAATGATGAAATGACATCGGCCGTCTAGTTATAGTAGACATAATGTGAGGCTTAAGGGGACACGCAAACGTAGTTTATACGACCCGTCCGATATCAGCAGATCCCTTAACTGCCGACTTCCAAATGCAATGATTTCCACCGAAATTTGAAACACGGAGAACAATTAACTAGAACTCCTTCCGGTTGATTTATTTTCATGCGCAATATATTTTTTTTGTTGTCACGGTCTACATAAAACGTTCCTGAGCGACAAACTCAAAGTTTCCCCCCAAAATCGAAGCCAAGGTGAGTAAATTGGTTTGATGTAGTCATTTATGTGATGCTTATAAATTCAGTTGCGTGATGAGGTAGATAGGGACCACAAAAAGGAATAGAGAGTGAAAAAGAGTCTAAGGTAGATATCAGTATAGAGGGAGCACTGGGATTTTCGGTTTTGCGGTTTTAGCTATTTTTTAGATCGGTTTTTCGGTTTTTGTGCCGAAAAGCTTCGGTTTCTCGGTCTGGTGTTCGTTGCGGTTTGCAGATTTTCCGTATTTTAGCATTTGGCTTTCGGTTTTCGCGAAAAATATTGACGGGTTTTAGGATTTCATATTCGATGCGGTTTTCAGTTTTTTGTATTTGACCTAATTTGGTTCAGGTTTCTCTTTGATCTGAGCGGCAATTACGCGCCTCCAGAGATCTCGAATAGCAGCTAAACACAAATTTTATCGAGAGGAATGTGTGACAAACCAATTGAAATATCGCAGGGATCCCTAGGTAGCCTACGTGCAGGGGTGGGAAGGGGAGGAGGGGAGGGTACGGCTACACGAAGGGTTATGCTAAGCGCGGAACATTGCTAGAGTTTCTTTATCAATGCCACCTCGAAGTTCGCGACCAAGTTACAGGCCACACGTGACTGATTGATTCAACATTCCAATACAATCTCCAAACTTATCAGGTCTTAGTTCGCAAATGGAAAAGTTAGATTAGAGATTTTCGATGAAACTTTCCAGAGCTATAGCTTTTTGCGACTGCAAAATTGCAACCCTGTAGAGGACTTTTGTGCGAATTTCCTTAATTTAATTAGGCTCCATTACCAGCGGCTGAGTCCGCAAAGACCACGCCCGAGGTCCTCGAGAGAGCAGCTATTAATTTAAGCAGATATTAGAGGATACGAATGCCAAGTCCATGGCATTCATAAATTCTGTAATGAAATTAGGGTAGTTAATTACTCTGTATGCTCCACTTGTCATCACTGTATCAGATCGATCAGGGTTGTAATAACTGGGATGTGAAAATGTATCGGTTTTGACAGTTTTGCACGCGGTTTTCGGTTTTGATCGAATTTTTTTTTCGGTATTTTGGTTTTGGATGATTTTTTCTACGGTTTTGTGGTTTCTAATAGGCCCCAAAGCCCCCCTCAATATAAATACATACAAATAGATGATTGGGCTTTGTACGAAAGTAATTCATTTCGGAAGAGTTCAGTCTGGCAGTGTGTCTAAGCCTAAGATGAGGCTGAATTTTCAAAAACTTCCAAATAGAACGAAAGCACCGCCTCATGTTTAAAATAAAATATGCGTTTTTTCCGATTACAACGAACGAAAGTGATATATAGAATAGAAAATTTTAATTATATTCTATTTGTGCCTACATTTACATGGAAAACAAAGATTTCAGTGGCTGTGAGCATTTCAGGGTAGTTCAGCACTAATACCTCCTCTATTATCTCTCGCCTTGTTCGATAGTCAGTTGGCCCTTAGAATCTATGTAGTTGTATTGCATCTTATTCTCCGAGTTATGAATTGTCAATCAAAGTCTATTTTAACCTCTCACCGTTCGAAATCAGGAAGATTTACCTCTATATATAGTACCCAAAACTGTGCGTTTTTGCACCACCGAATACTCAGCTACGACTGTAAATTGTATAGGGTATATATATGATTTATTTCTATTGAATTCTAGGACCTACTGGTACAAAGGATAATATGCCATAGCTTAATGTTTCTTGCCAATTTTTCTAGCTTAGATAATCTTGCAACGCAGCTTATGGTTATTCTCCGCAAAAAATGGATGAAATAAAATAAAATTTTCATAAGAATTCAAAAATGCCGTTAGATACTGATCTCTTTACACTCTCCAGCAAATCTTTCTTAAAGACGAAACATTTCGCACTTCAAACATTAAACATATAAATCTACCGGCAAATAAAACTTAATTTTCGTTTTAGTTTGTTTAAGCGATGAGCCAAATCCGCAAGGGCGAATTTCAGTAGCCAATAATCTACCTAGTATCTATCTAAAAGCTTTGCAGCTGTTGTTATTAATTATAACGGAGACACCGTCTCAAATAGAGTTTGACTGCTGCTGCTATTATGGCTAAAAATATTATTACCGCGACCTGCACCACTATTAAAGGTGACAAGATATTGAACACATCAGTTTTCGAGGGTGTTTTGATATCAGTTGACGTTCAAACATCACAATCAACACCTGCATCCTCAGCGTGCGAGCAATAGCGAGATGAACCGTATGGACAGTCCAGCAATGATTTTTCGTCCCCGTTGCATCTGACAAGGTTGCGATGGATAGGACCGGAACCTTGACCGTACGTTGCGCCTCCATGCGCTTTGTCTGCACCTCTAAAACCAAGCTGACGACAGACGACGGTTGCATCATTCATGTCCCATTTGTGATCACAGATAGTACCCCATTGGCCTCCTATAAGAATCTCAACGCGGCCAAACTTTTTACCTCCGTTTATCCGAACATCGGTAACACCATAATTGCACAACACACTGGCGTCTTTTTTATGATCGCAGTTGTGGTTTCCCCATTCTCTCTTTGGACAATTGTGGAGATGAGTCTCACTTCCTGAGCAACTCACGTCGTCAAGCCAGATTGGTCCACTTCCTTCGCCATGTGAAGCGCCAGTAAACACACCTGCAGCCTTTACGAAACCAATCTCTTTACAAACTACGTTCGCGTTAGCCATGTTTTTATACCAGTTGTCATCGCAGACGGTCCCCCATTTACCATCGTAGAAAACTTCCACTCTGCCAGCAAATTTGGTGTGTGAAGAGGTACTATTCATACGCACGCTGCCATCCGTAATTGCTATGAATAAAATTGATTCAGAGATGTGTGAGATGGACACAGACTCTACGAATCACTCATACTAACTCTTCTCTTATAAATTTTTTTCGGTTTATTCACGGGGAGGGGAGGATGGTTTAGTCGGTCCTCCATTTGCTCATTCTCTTTTACCAAACAGCAGTTTATATTTAATTTATGCAGATTGTGGCTCATGTTTCATATATCTACAAATATCGCCCATTTTTATTTCACTGATAACACAATGATATCACCTTGTGAGTAAAGTGTGAATGACCGTTTCCCACCAGTAACCCCATAGAACAGAACTTTGTTTGACGACAAAGTCTTGTTCATAAAAATTTTGAAGTCTGAAATACTATACTCTCATAAAAGACAAAGCCTGTGCTTGGATCACACAAAATCATGTCTTGTGCGCTCTAAACCACTTTTCTAACTCGTGAGATCTGGAATATAATTATACAAAGTAGAAACTGTGCGTTTCTTTGTTCGCTAAGGGCGAAAATTCTCTTGAATCCACGCAAATTACACCACATAGCATTTATTTCGGTGGACAAGTTTATCGCCCAATACGGCGAAGTCTTTGAAAGAAGAGATAAAAAAGGATGTGAATAACCTTGCAATGGTAGGGCCAACTGGGCACAACGACTTTTTTGCCACAATCGCAAAACCTTACAAAATGAAACAAGGAGGCCAATTTTAGCATCAATTCTTTTCCAAAGGCTTGCGTATCACACAAACTGGCATGATTTCCTTTCACGGTAAATCCCAATACCCATTCCCGATTAGAAAAGGTATCGAAATAACGCCCTTATATCACCGCGCTTGGTTAAATCACGCTATGGAGCACCGGACTGCGATGCGCGTGGTCGAGAGTTCAAGTCCCTGACCGGACCAAAACTCAATGTCTTAAGATAACTGAGCAGAATGTGCTGCCCTTACTTTGAAATCTGCAAATTCTTAACAATAATAATGGTTAATAACCTTGTTATTGTTTATACAGAACCCCATTTAAACAAGCTCCAAGCTGAATTGGGTCAGCCAGTCCAGATATCGCAAAAAACAGACAGTACATAAATACAAACCTACCTCGATATTCTGCCAAAAATCCTCTATATTCTTTATTACCATCAGATTCAAATCTCACAAATAGATTGTTGAATGTGCTTGTGAACGATCCCTGGGGGATAGTGTCTCCAAACAAAGTACCAATTACAGGAGCAGAAGCTGATCCACCATCGTGTATGAAGACCTTATCTTGCTTATCCTCAGTGTCCAAACGTAAAAAGACAAGATCAATTTGTCCATTTGATGTTATATTCCATATGCAGTTCATGTTACTTTTGTATTTAGTAGCCTTTGAATTATCAATTGGCTCGATGTACCCTGTTGAATTTGATACCCATATTGTTGTATCGGCGCAGGAAGAAGTTACTGTCGCATAAGGTGCTGTAAAAGTAGTGAAGGTTTATTTTTAAAGACGATTCTGTCCTGATATGTCGATATGTTCTACAAAGGTCTTATCCTCGAAGACCCAGGGGTTGTGAGTCGATTTCAAGTCGGGGAGGAGGAGCCCCTCGGGACATTGTCTTACAAGACTAGTTCCAAACAGTCGCAGTCGTTCTGGCATCTGATTAGTGCCAGAAAATCTTTATGTTTTTCAGCCCAATCATAGTGAAGTATGCTTTAGAGTCCTTTCGTGTGTTTTAATACGGATATGTACAAGAAGCTCAGTTGCTCACCTTGTTTGTTTGGGTCGTGCAACGAAGCTTTGCCCGGGGAAAAAGTTTCAGTCTCACAATGTAAGAGAAATCAATCAGATTGTCCAAGAAAATCTTACCAGAAATTATGCTGAATACTTTCGCAGGTATTGCAAGAGAACGTATCTAAAAGTTTGCGAGGTTCGTATTAAACATAGTGGTTGCAGGCGTTATTATGTTGCTTTAAACGTTAGACGAGATGTAAGCTTAAATCTTTCTAGATTTCTCATATAATTTGCTGTGACTGAAACTTTGCCAATCCCGTGAAGTTATTTCGTAGCACGGACCACGCAGGTATGTCGAGCAACTGGCGCTTATGTTTATGTAGCTTTCTGTGCGCGCGCCAAAATTAAATCTCCTTCGAATAATTGTTTAGGGAAGGTTCAGTGTTTTTTTACGATGAGTGTGAATAATCCGAGTGAAAATGTTTCAGACCGTTGTCGAGTATGTTCTTTCGTTTTTATCAACATTAAGAGAAAAATAAAGAAACCTTAATGGCGAGTTTATGAAGATATTTGAAGACGTTTTCAATTAAAAGGTTCTAACAGACGATGGTCTTCCGCGTGCAGAATGCGACACTTGTCGCTATAGAATTGAGACATCATGGAAACGTAATTGTAACTGGGAGATGACAGACTCCAAAAAAAAATGATATGCCTTTGTCATGGTAGCAGTTGAAAAGATTAAGCTCTTTCCAAACCCCGTCTGTAACTGTCCGAAAACATCTCTCCTTCCCACAATGTTATCGATAGTAAGTTTTTGTTCAGATTTTAATTCGCTAACCGGAAACACAGCTCAGCTTTCTCTAAGCGCTCGCTGGAGGTTGTCCACGAACTTAACGTTCTCTGCGAGTTTGGCCATATTGTGAAAGACTTAACTACTATGTAAGGGTTAGATTTTGGTGCGCACAGAAAGTTACGCAAGCGTAAGCGCTAGTTGCTTGACATACCTACGTGGCCTGTGCGAAGAAATGGCTTCACGGGATTGGCAAAGTTTCAGTCATAGCAAATGATACGAGAAATCTAGAAAGATTTAGGCTTACATCTTGTCTTGTGAAAGTATTCAGTATCGATTTCCCTTACATTGCGTGCTGAGACTGAAACTTTTCACCTCGGGAAAAGCTCCGTCGAACGGCCCAAACAAACAAGGCGAGCAACTGAGCTTCTTGTACATATCCGTGTTAAAGCACACGAAAGGACTCTGAAGCATACTTCACTCTGATTGGGCAAAAAAACACAAAGATTTTCTGGCACCAATCAGATGCCAGAACGGCTGCGACCGTTTGGAACTAGTCTTGTAAGACAATGTCCCCAGAGGCTCTTCCGCCCGCCCCTGGGTCTCCGAGAATGCAAAGGTCTGTGAATGACAAGTGAATTTTTCAGACTGGGATCAAATGTTCTGTCTCAGCGTTTTTTGCTATCAAAACATAAACGCTATTGGCGGTTTAAATAAGGTTTAAAAGGGGCTAACTGTCAGTCCAATTTTTAACCACTATACGTACAAGAAATTTACCGTAAAAACATTTGGATCAATATCAGAATCTGGGCAACTGTCCACCTACCCCTCCCCTAACCCAACATTAATCTTAACTTGTTATCAGTAGACTGTTGTTGGGTTAGGGGGAGGGGCAGATGGGCAGTTGCCCAGATACTAATGTTGATCCAAACTTTTCTACAAACCATAACGTAAAGAACTTAAACATGGCTGTAATTCAATAGTTTAGCCGTATAAACCGTCACTCCATTGAGATGCTCTTTCAGGAATGAAAAAATTTGCCTTGCATGTAACCACAGTGACACCAATCAGTAAAGTTGATGCTACAGAAATAAATTGGGGGAGAATTTGTTTATGAAATCGCTTTTTTGTGAGTAAACGATTGAAACTGAGAAGTTAAAGAAAGTCACAATAGGAAAAAAAAGCTTCATGGGAAACGGAGGCATCGAACGAAAATTTTAAACATTTTCAGCGGGAGATTCTAAATTAACAGTCAGAAACTTACCCCCACACTCTTTAACGGTTCCTGCCAAGCCGGTTCCTGCCAGACCAAGCTTACATCTACATCTATAGGAACCAGGAACGTTCTCGCAGGTCGAATTGGCGGGGCAGTTAAAAAAAAGTTTTCCCATGTTGCATTCGTCCAAGTCTATTTGGCAACAAAGAAAAAGAGGGGAAAATGTTTGCAAACTTTACCTGCAGCATATTCATTTCCTACGATCGTAGTGACTTCGTTTTATTCCAAATATCAAACAGTTGGATCGCCTATTTTTTTATATTCCTAAATGTTAAAATAACATAAATATTAATTAACCGTTGAATAAGTTATTCTGTTAGTTATAGTTCAAAACGAGATACCTTCACACTTTTTGTTAACTTTATTCAGAAGGAATCCTTTATTGCATTGGCAGTCGTAACCGTCAGGCTCATTAACGCAATGAGAATCATCTGGACAGTCGTAATTGTGGTCAGCACATTCATCATAATCTTTAAAAGAAAGCAAACACAAAAAGTTTATTCAGTTTCTTATTATGGTTATAGCAGGCGGAATAAATAAAAGGCAGTCTATGACTGCATCTGCCTACTGCTGTATAGTTGTGTAGTATTGCAGTGTAGTAAAGCAATTTTGTAAACTTTCCTTTTCATCCTTTGGATTGTAAAAGCCTGGTTGCGAAAGCAAATTCGTATGACAACATGCAAAAAAAGAGATTCCAGGAAGGCGGAACTTCTTAAGTACTCAGAAACGTTTCATAACGATCCTAACAGAAACAAAACAAAATTGTGGCAAAACTATTGTTTCACTGAAGCATGACAGTTACTACGCAATTTTCTAGATGTTCCATATGATATTTTCAGCTGAAGTATACTTCTATATGTTCTTTTAAGCACTAACCTCTCTTGCAAGAATATCTGTGACAATCAGAGCAGTTCACGTCATTCCATTCGTAATGATGATTTTTAAGGAAGCCAAGAGCATGAACACAATCTTGATTGCCATAGTTGTTTGGTTGGTCCTTTGCCCAACGCCTGAATTTGGATGTGCTCTTGTCGCTCCACACAAAATTCCCTTCAGAGTTGATATCATTGAGCCCCAACCAGGAGTGTTCTCCACCATGCAGACTTTGGACAAAAACGTTTTCTTCCTGGTTACGTATGCTGGGAAGGTCAGCTGACTTTAAGCCGCATACTCTATTGCTGTTGTCCCAGTTATCGCATGCAGCCACTTGACTGTAGCAATAGTTATCGAAATAGTACCAGTCGTCTTTACAAATGCTGTCTGTAAGATAAACACGATTGACAGTTTTTTTTGTTTGTTTGTTTGTTTAATCGGTCGTTCTGTTTTAACTATTTAAGTCATTATTATATTTGCAGCTTGGTAAAGAGCAAAGTGAGGCTGATTTTTGTGGAGGATTTCTTTTCATTTAAAAGGTGAAAAATGACTCTAAGTTAGAAGTTATTGAATCTCACCAGCTCACGAGTACCTTGAGAATAAAGCCTTTATTTAACAAATAGAGAAGCTTTGACTGTGCTCTGTTTTGTTGTAAAGTACGCAGAAAGCGGCTAGAGCACGAAAGAAGTGTAGGGAGAAACACAAGACGTTTGTGTTATAATAGAGAATCCGTTTTATTCCGCACGCATTACTTTCAATTTTCAAAACAAACTTTATTTCTAAAGCGAACAACAGAGTCTTTAGCATGCTCTATACACTCATAAAGCACGCCACAATAAGCCAGTCAGAATCCCTTTTAGAATGGTTCAAATAACCTAATTGGCTGTACAAGACTAAAGCTGTCAAAACTTTCAAACCATCAAAGTACAAAAACCATCAAAGTTCACATTCTGCAATAGATTACGAACTTAAACAGTTCGGCAGGTCGAATTTAACACTTTTGCCTTAAGTCTTTTAGTCTCTAATACAGAATCTGAAAGTGAAATGTTCAGTAAAATTCGGCCGAATTGTGACTCATAACCCGCAAGTTTTTTCACATGACAAGTAGAAAACAAACTGTTCAAGGCGAGCGTTCTATGAATGAACGGCAGCCGAATTCACCGGAACATGAAGATCGCTCGGGATGACAGCGCCGGACTGTCCATTTCGTTTATCTTTGAGGATTTTTTGTCTCTGCTCACGTTGTAATAACATAAATTACGGTGCTTGGCATATTTACAAACTTCTGTTTAGTTCTTTTGTTATTACTTGCCGGCTTGCTTGCGAGGCAAGCCGGCAAGTAATAATAAAGTCAGTCACTTTCACTAAGAGGCACTTTTAACGCAAAAAACGAGCTAGGGAGAATTCCCGGAAAAGGTCGGACATAGTACAATTTGGCAGATAGCGTGAAAGCTTTAGCTCAGCTCTATGCTCTATACTCTCATGGACCACGCTCTTTTAACCTAAGACAGCGCGCGCTATATCCCAACTTTATGGAATTATTATCACTACCCTTTATTTTATTTTTAATTTACTAACATACTTATGTGATTTTTTTTCTTTTTAATGTAGTCTGTTTCACTATGTGGAACACCAAGTGTTCAAATTTATAGCTAAGTGACGACCTTAAATGTGCTAAAGCTTGTCATTACTCGGGGCCGGCTCTCCGCCTATTAGATTATTCGTACCTCCCAACACCGCGTATGATACATTCAGTGGGTCGAAGCGTTGCACTTCCAGTTCTTTGACACAGATTCGGAATGCCTTTTCTGTGATATACTTGAAAAAAAAACTTTTGTGATAGAACTAAGCGTATCTAATTATTTGACATCACTGAGGAAACATTGTCTAAGTATACATAGTTGATTGTTGATGACGCAAATGTAAATGCAACGACAACAAAGTTGACAACAACATCAAACATGCAAACAGAAATCAAAAGACAGAAATTTTGGAAATGTAGTGGTTTAGTTTGGTATGTTAAAATCATATTTGTAATTACAGTCCACTGTACCTCGAGGAAGCTGAACTATTGAAGTACGGAAGCAAACAAAGACCCAAAGGAAAAAATGCATGGCAACGTACAGTAAGAGCATAGAAGCAGCTATTTATCTAAACTTCCTGCCGTAATAAGTTATAATTTGACACACCTCAATCCAGCTTATGATTCCGTTGCACTCTGCTGGAGCATTGCCTCCACTGGTAGAATGCCTGGCGCTTATAAATACTTTTGGGGAGTTTTTGTAAGCCGATCGAGTGTAACTCACATCCTTTTGATGAGATGAGGAAAATTCTCGATTACTTGATATATAAGTCATTCAACCAATTAAATGAAATCAACAATGATAAAATCAAGAAAATACTGGTTTGTCAGTCTAAAAAATCAGATCAAAATGAAGAAGACACTCGCAGCATAAAACAGCCTGTTTAGTTATAACGTTAGACTTTATTATATACCTAATTAGTTTACAGGGTGACGAGAATTTTCTTGACTCAATCAATTGCCTAAAGCCAAAGTAAGAAAAATTAGTCAAATATACTACATGCACCCACCCACACCCACGCAAACTACTCTTGACAAGGGGCACAACGCTTACCTTACAGAAAGCGTAGTTGTACTCTTCTGACGGCGAACCAGTATTCGGAAAACTGACGAGGCCGTGCTCTTTAAACCATGGTCTGGGTGTTTTTCCGAAAAACAGCCAGCTCTGGGAGAAAACAGAGGAATGAATTCATGAAGATGCGTACATAGACACATGCTTTAGTAGAAATTGAACCAAGAAATATCATGTTTGGCGATTAGGTCATATACGAAGGTAAGAGTTCCGCTATCAGAGAAACGTCTACAATGCAGCCGGGCATTCTCTTTTCCTAGCACAATACCGGAAAGTCTACTTAGGATCTATTGCTGAAGTTCCTTACAACAATGCTTACTATTTGTGGCAGCTGGAACTTAGTACCTAGTTGGGATCTCATGTTTTAGAATTCCAAGGGCTAAGCCGAAACCAGATAATTTAGAGTCAGCACCAGCTAGTAACAAAGCTGAGCACAAAACTTACCACTGTTATTTTATCATGAGCTCCTGCGAAGTTTTGAAATTCTCTAAGACAGATCTGGAAAGAACTCGTTGAAACATCTTCAAGCCATAAAGAGGTAGCATCATGCCTGAGACCTGTTCTGTGATGCACTGCTGTTGCAAAGACCGACGGTGGCTCAGAACGCTACAGTTGAAAAAATGAGGAAACTGATTTGACTGGGAAGTTATACTAAAAGATACACGACAAGAACCTGCACATCCCATCATCATTAGGTGACGAAAAGGATAGTGTGAAATCTGATCTCAGATCTGAAAGCTTTAACAGAAAATTCGGTATAATTCTCTTTGCCTATAATTTGATTCTTGGATGCTCTAAAATGAAAGGAGAGAATTTTCCCAAAAAGGCTATTGAACAAAGGAATAAAGGAACCCAGATCAAAATTTGAACCTGGGTGGGCGCTAACAGCCTTCGAGCGACATGACCCTGAAGAAGTTTCGCTCTTAATTACCAATGTTAAATCGGAATATTCAGTTAAAAGTGGTTTCCCTAGTCAAGCCAAGTGCTTCCCCTTCCCCCTCCCCCTCCCGTTACCTACTTATACTCCGGGGTGGAGAGAGGCACAATGAGAGTAAAGTGATCTGCTCAAGAATACGACGCATTGACTCGGCCAGTTCTCGAACAGAGCGAACTGACCATAATGGCACCGCGTCTCCCGCAAGTTGAAATAGGAATAACACAATCCTTGTGTGACAACAAAAGAGTTAAAAAGTGCATGTTTCTAGAGCACTTTTCAAAGCAACATAAAAATGTGATGTATATCACAAAAAAATGTCCAAATTTCTTAACTCTTAAATTAAAGAGGAATACCTACCTTTTTAAAAGAGACAGTTACGCAGCTGGTTCCAGTCGACCATGTTGTGAAATTCGCTTTCCCTGCTACTCCTCCAGGTGGATTTCCCTGATAGGCCATCCAGTCTATTGAAGGGAAGCTGTCTGCAAGATATTTGTCCTTTCCAGTTCGAGTAACACAAGCAGTAAACTGAGTGACGTTAACGCTTTCAACCCAAGGTGTAGCAGCTTCATGTACCCAATCGGCATACGAGTAGTTGAAGTGGTTCACAGTGAGTTGCACGTGAACTTCCTTAAGAGGATAGAATATGAACGGTTTGAACTTGATCACAACACACTGATCCTCTATCCCGAGAGGAGGATTTGGAAACTCGTGTCTTCCTTTCTGCATAGGGAAATCTACAGTTGGACGGAAATAACAACAACGAAAACGATTAAAAAAATTCACGTTTTGGCTATACGGAAAGGAGTCAGAATGAGCTCAGCCATATCAAATGGATCGTCTATCATCTGATTGTCGCAAGATAACATATTCATCATATCATGTTGTAGATGAGGTCGCCTTAATTTTTTCATACTCTTCCAAATTTTGGCGTGTATTAAGCTAAAAGATCTCAACATGAAATTTTAACGTTGTTACAATATGCAATACGGCACCGAAACTTTGTCTCCGGCCTGTCTTGTACAATGTGGACATATTGAAATAAGTTAATTTTTACTGATAAGTTCTTCTATTCTTTGAAAGGAGTTCACTTATACCTCAGTAGTCTGCTGGAAAGTTTGGTTTGCTCCCTAAATTTGCAAAGGCCCAAAACAAAATTCGTGGGTATTTTCTGCAAGATGACGGGCGTTTTCAGGGAGAGAAGCTAAGCTGCTTTTCGAGACGACCGTTTTGCAATTTTCGAGAATAGGTATAATCGGTATTAACACTTTGAGAATTTGCGTTTTTAAAACTAAGCCACAAGGTTATTATTTTTGCCCCATTCCATGTTTTACTGGAAATCACGATCTTTCAGGCTTTTGTCGCTCCTGATGAAAAGAAGGTAACTGCGAAGTCCTCAAAAATAACTTTAAAAAATTTGGAAAACATATATCTCGAACCAGCCATGGGACTCCAACTGCAACCTCAATGAACACGAAACATTTCGACCTACTCCCCTTATTTTGCAAACTCAAGATTTCTCTAAGGGTTGTCGTCCAAGCAAAACAAGAAACTCACTTAAGACTTCGTCAACATTAAAATTACATATTTTCACGCCCTTATTGCACGCCAACAATCCATAATTTCTGGAACCCCATAATTAGTCAAAATTCTAAAATTATCGCTCCGAAGTTGTTTGCTTTAGCAAAACGTTGTTTGTCATCCATCATTTTCGCTAGGTATTTATAAAAGCAAGCGGTCAAAGGTAACAACTTGAAGGATATAAACTGTGAATACACACAAAAATACACCCAGTGAGGCCGGACGAAGCTTCGCAATAATCTTCGGAAAGGTTTGAGAACTCGTAGCTCGATAAAAAGTGAACTCGACTTCATATAAATATAGCTAATTTCATGGTTACGGAACGCGTACGATTCTTTTCACGAGTTGTGAAGAATAAAACAAGCGAGCGGGAAACTAACGAGTGAGCTGTCTTATTCATAACGAGTTTATAAAAACCGATCGAGCAGAGAAGAGCAAAACAAAACAAACAAACAAATAAAGAAACGAAAGGAACGAAAAACATAAAAAGAAAACAACAAAAAAGACCAAAAACATTGCACTCTGCAAATTGGGAGAAAATTGAAAAGGAATATAAGGTTAACGTTCGAAATGTCAGATTTAGAAATCCTTTGAGGAGACCAATCTTCATTATCAACTCAATTAATAAAACCAAATTATCTTATCAGATATCCCAGTCTCGAAGAGAAATAAAATTCAAGTAGTTAAGGAGAATGCAAGGGTACTTTTGGAAGAGTTTAATAAACAAAAAGACAATGATTTATACCATTGCATCTTCCAGGATGATAGTTTGTATAATTGCCGCGTTTTTTACAAATCTCTCTTTTGAAGTCACACATATTCTTGAAAGTCTGACCATTGGAACCACAGACATGTTCCTCGTACGATGGGCAGTCAGTTCGGCAGAGACATTTATACGTCCACGCATTATAAGCATAGCAGAAGCTTTCGTAAGTGCAGTTAATATTTCTACACGGGTCGAGGTCTGTAATAGAACCAGAAATCACACATTAAATGAATGAAAGGCATTGAATTTTTGGGTGGTCTAAACAGAGTAAGCAATGAAATAAAAAGAACAAAAAAAACAGCAACAACATTAACAACAAAACAAGATGAAGATTTATTACCCCACAATGGCAACCCCACAGAAGACTAAGACAAATCATGGAAGGATGGACTCACTCACTTCTAACATTTTGCTGTGCTTAAGTGACAAATATCTCATGAAATTGAATAATGCATAGACAATTTAACCATATCTAACGTACAATGCTAGTACAAACGGGGTTTGACTTCAAATGGGTACAAAATATTTGAAAATCATATATATGAGCATGAAAGAAAAATAAGTAAATGAATCAATAATAAAAAAAACCTATGATAAAATAGGGTCCCGATGCAATTGCACACGGTATTTCATATAAAACCAAAGAGCTCAACGATCAACTTCTGTTTGCTGATCATCAAGGCACACTAGAACACTAAGAACACTTGCCCATCATGGAATTTCCTCTTTATCAAAACAAAAATAAATTAAAACTTTGGTTTTTTTTAATTTGAATCGTTTCTAATCAGGGCACGGATTTTCAGCCTCACCTCCAATAATTAAGTAGTCTATAACCACGTCGCTTCTTTGGTTACCGTATCCTGCGTGGTCTATTATGCAAATTTGAAATTTTTTCTTGGTCACTCCCTTGAAGGATAAAAGAAAGAAAAGCAAGCAATAAAATGACAAATTAAGGAATTTTGAGCACATGGAACTTTGATGAAAAATCAGGAGCAAAGTTCTCGTACTTAAATGAGAGAGGAGAAAGGAGAAGAAAAGAGAGAAACACAAACAAGAAGATAAAAACAAAGGACTTATGATAAAAAGAAAGGAAAGAAAAGAATAGGTCAGGAAACAAAGCAACGAACAAATAAGCAAACTAAAAAAAAGAAATGATACAAAGGGAAAATAAAGGGAAAGCTAACAGGGCTATTTTGTCACATATTTGGTTGATTTAGGTTCAATTCAAAACTGTACTTCATTTCTCTTTTAAATTTCATCTAAATCTAGCATGATCGGCGAGTTAATAAGTCATAGGCAAAACTCAGGGGGTCAGTTTTAACGTTACTCTTACCTCCATCCAGGTTAGCAAAGGCTCTTTTTGTTTCGGACCACATCCATTGTTCGATTTGTTACCTTGAGCAGCATTGAAGACAGTTGTCAGGACGATGGGTGGGTTAAAAAACGGCTCGTCGTATTTGATCGTCTGTTGAAATAGAAAAAAAAAACAGGAATCAAACAACAGGCATAACAAAAAACGAAATAAAAAATTAAAATAAAAAACGTTTAAAACTGGCTAAACTTGGATCCACACGCGTGACCCAAACTTTTCTTTCCTTTTATTTTTTCTTTCCTTGTTTTTATTTTCACACTGACAACGGTCCTTTACCCGACAAGGAAATCCTCGTTGGACACTATCGTTAAACATGCAGAATGCTTTTGACATAGGTCGGTAGATTTTCACAAATCATAGACAAATTTCTTTAAGGAAGAAATCACATGCAGACTTACAGTACCTTACACAGTGCATACTTGTTTTCGGCTGAGGGTAACTCCTTTCCGGAAAACAGGATGGTTTTGGACTCCTTAGCTCTCCAATTTTGAGGATAGTTCTCGTATGCCATCCAGTTCTTGAGTAAAGAGCACGTAGAAAAGAACATTACACATTTGCTTATGAGCTGAATAACATTTACACATAATCCACAGATAATAACATCCTTAAGTTTGCTTTAGCGATCTCAGTGAGAAATAAAACGAGTTAGGAACTTATTTCAAGCTAAATATACTTTGTTTAGGACACAGGAGAAACCATGACCGACAGAAGGAAGAAAAAACACAAGATGAGGCATTTTTTACGAGCAAAACATGTGACTAGCAATATCAATTAATCTTGATAAAATATTGATCTATATAGAACAGGAAACACAAATAATAAGAAATACAAGTACATCAAAACACTATGTAAGGACAAAAGAAAGCAAGCCATTACTAAAGAAAACATTTTGGTTAAAATCTAAAGGAAAATAAATTAATCAGTGAAAAACGCAAAACAACCTATTAAGCAGCACATAGACAGAATAACGGCTCACCACTATAAGTCCTTCGTGGAGCCCATCGAATACCCTTGACTCTTGCAAACAAACTTCAAATTCACTTGGTGAGATGTTTTCAATCCAAACCAGCATTGCATCGTATTTCCGGTCTTTTTTAGTGTGCTGCACAGTGACGTGAACTGTAGGAGTTTTCTTAAAACCCTGAATGCAACAAAGGGAAACATGAAAATAATAACTAAGCTATAAGCTATATTCTAAGAGTAGACCCAGTAGTACGCTAACAACCTTTCCACCACGTCGATGCTAAGCAAAATTCAATTCAAATGAATGAACCTGTCATAACTTCATCTAAGGATTTTCAGCAGGCGCCCAGTACCTCTGCACTAATTGTGAAAGGCACATTAGCCAGCAATAAACCGCTCAGCCCTCGAAGAACGAGGATTGATGGCAAAGCAGATGGCTTCTTACAAGGCGTAGTAGCGGGTTACCCACAAGAAAATTCAATTGAGTGCAAGTACTGTGAGTTAATGCAAAGTCATATCAGACCCAGCACTCTTAACAACTCAGTCACGCAGCCTTTGAAAGTTCAAAGAATCTTACCTTTTTAAATGTCACCCGGTTGCACTGTGATCCTGTGGTGAATTTGCTAAACGGTGTTTTACCATGTTCAGCTCCTGTCTGTGGACCTTGAACTGCAAACCAGTCGATAGTGAAATTATCCCCAGCTTCTTGGCCTCCTTCAACGACACAAGCCTTGAAGCGATCGTATTTTACATCTTCTACCCAAAGAAAGATAGAATCGTAGACATAGGACGATCCATTTCCTCGGTTGACTGAGGCAAATACGCTCACAGGTGTTCCCCTGATGAAACGGTTTTTAAATGTCTCATGCCGGCAAATGTAATCATCATTTACTTGGCTGAGGCGAATGTGTCCGTTTTGTGGTTTAACACCTGAGAAGAAATTTTTATATTAACCTGAGTAAAACTCGAGCAACAAATGTAGTAAAATAATGCGCCCGTTATTGCAATGCATCCTGGGCAACGACCTAGGCAAACCCAAGGCAAGCGATCACGATGGCTGATCAGACCGATAGAAAACATCCCCGAAAAAAACGAACCATAAGAAAAACAGAGAGACTGGTTAAACCTCTAGTGATGGCCTGTTAACAAGTAAAGATTAGTTTTTGATATGTAATCACGACTGATAAGATGGCACGAATCTTCTAGACCAATCACTCAATGCAGCGCAACAAAACAACCCTATCTCGGATTACCCTCGAGTTTCCATTAAAGATGTCTTTGTTTTGTTAGGTTGGGTGTGACTTAAAACAGGGGATCCAAAATATAGAAATACGAAATAAAAAATAGGAGAAAAAAGTAAGGTGCCGTTAACATGTACGCCTCACCTATTCCCTAGGTGAAGTTAATGAACTATAGAAAAAGGTTGAAATATTGAATATCGCGCTCGCATAAGTGAAGTGCCGATCAATTGCTTGGAGAAACGCTCTACCCTGTGACTGTTTTCAACAATATTCATTTATTCTTTAAAAAGCTTAAAAATTTGCGAGGGATTGAATAAAAAGATCTTGTTTATGCCTGTTATGTCATAAATATCCTATGTATATCGATCTTGGTTTTGATGCGTGAGTTTTTGTCTTGGTACATGTGTATTACTTATAAATTCAATCAACGGAGATGTTAGAAGTGTCCAGTCATAAAATTGAATGATAATTTCACCAAAGTAAGGAAGTAAAATTACTGAAGGAGAGTGATTCAGCACTTCCAGTTTCGACACGAATACGACAACTTTAGACTATTTGCTCTAGGTGAGATAACGTATGTTTTGCCTGGAATAAACTGCACGGTAAAAGCAAAAATGAAAAAAGAACTTTCTATCACCTTCGACACTGCTGGACATGAGGAAAGTAACCAGCAAAAGCGATACTTGCCCGACAGACAACACCGTAGTTTCCTTGTACAACTTCACCTAAACTCCACTCCTTTGGAATGGAGAGCTATTCGCGAGGCAGGTAAGTTTTCACGGATAACAAGTTGAGAACGTGACTTAAATATCGAGTGTGCGAGTGCGCACGCACCAAAGATACTCAAGGGATCATTTGTTTGAAAGCATTTTGGTTCACTTGCGCTTAGACGAGGTCAGCAGAACAATAACAATAGCGCCTTAGGAAGACCTTCTTATCTCGATTAACTTATATAAGGAGAAGTGCGATTTTTGCTCAACATCAATTTTTTGGTTTACCAATTATAGCTTTTGTAGTTTGCCCAACCATACTGGGGAACATCTATTTTATTTCTTTCAAATAGGAATTCGTTTTGAGAAAAATGGGGACAGCTATTGACTATTCCTATCAAAACATCAACTCTCCATTCTCTGGCGCCAGAGAGTCTTCAATTGAAGTTTGTTCTGAGATACCAATCTTACATCAGACCATACCTTAAAGAATGAAACTCGTACAATTCTCCGGAAGAGCTGTAATAGGCTTTGATAATAAATCTCCGGAAGAGCTGTTATAGGCTTTGATAATAAATCGTTCGATCGTTGCAACGAGGCAATGTATCATGCCTTAGTGCTATTTTCACACCACAGCATTTTGCAAGAATTTCTGCAGTCGCACCCAAGATAGGTCAAGAATGTTTAACCTAACAACAGTATTTCAAATCATGCGGTGCAGCTTTGTAAACCAAAAGAAAAATAGATAAAATATAGATAAATGAATGGAATGACTTTGTCTAGCTTTACTGCAATCAATTCGACAAATGTTTGTTTAAATAACTACGGCTGCTCAGCAATCAAAATGTTCACAATAGCAAGAAACGTGAATTCAAATAGAGAATGGCAACCAAGTGGAAATCTGACTCTTAAAATTCTTTTGTTCATGATGAAGACTCAGAAAAGAATTGGAGGACCTTCAGATTTAAACTTATGTAACCGGGTTCGATAATAATCAATAACAGACCAATGCATTGGCGGTTGAGCGAGGTCAAATTTTTCATTAGTTTCTTTAGCTTTTAAGAAGTTTAATGAAGAAACACGTAAGCATCTGTGTGTTTTAGATAAATATTGACAATTCTTTTATCAATTACAAATGCACATTCCATAAATTAATAACAAAAGGACATTCTTCCCATTCTTGTATCGACAAGGTAGTAATGAATAGAGGGATGAGTGCAAGTAGAAATAACAGAAAGTTCCGCCGTTGTATGGACACATGTCGAGAGAAACCCGGCAACGCTAAAATCAGTCAAAGGATTTAATCAGAGCTGACTCGGCGTTGCTCTCAAACCTTGATCCTTTAACTAAATGGAATCAACAGATGAGAGAATAACATTAAAAGTTTTCCGTTGGCACTAATCTGGTGAATATAGGTTATTTAACATCTAAGATAGGGGATAAGCTTTTAAAGAAACTGTGGTCCTGCGTCGGTGGGAGAGTAGAATAGGGTAAGTAAGTATTATCAACTGAGTTGATAACGTTAATTTGCCACCGTGAAGATTTTTAAAGCTGGCGTTTTCAGCTTTGGCCCTTCGTTAGTAGCGAATAACGGATGGGCTAGCGCTCGAAACGTCAGCTTTGTAATTCTCTACGGTGGCCAACCATTTTATAATACCAAATTACCCTAATACCATCTAAGGATCTTTCCGCAACAACGGACAAAACTAGAATTGTCCCTAAAAAAAATCAAAGGATAAAATTTTTTGACGAAAAATTTTTGTTTCGTCTATTGCATCCGCGCCAAAAATTTCAAAGCTGTCAAATTCCGTCAGTGCCTGATCTGTTCATGAGACTGGCCAGCATGACAAATTATTCCACCTCCAGTTTCCAGGATTTATCCTAAATCGTTTTAAAATTTCAAAATTTCCCAAGTTTTTCAAAAAATTATCATTTCTTCGTACAGTTCAATTACAATCGTAAAATCGTAGCTTTAACGTCAATTCATCTCCAAGCTTATCACGGTTTTGTCTATTTAGTTGTTTTTTTTTCCAGTGTTCACAAGACCTAAGCGCAGTGGAGGTCAGAACTCTTGATTGATTGAAAACTGATAGCATTAGGATTTATTCAAACATAGCGTGGAAGAATCTGCTTTTGCAGTCAAATGGTATTTTAAAATAGTCATCGATGTACATCACTGACGAGAAAATATAATACAAGAATATCCAGATTGTTTTGCAGGGCGGTTCTATAGCCTTAATCGTCGCACGGTGTTCCCAGTGTCCAAGGTCGTAGGAGGTTATTTATGTGACTGTATACCGCTTTATAATTCTAGCCATACAGTTTCATCCATTAGCCATATCTCTCCCATATCATGCAAGAAACGATAAGCATGTAAAATTAAATCGTGACTACCTGTCTGGGGCTGAGCAATTTTCCCTGAATTTCTACTAGAACGTTGTGTGGAACTTCTCGTGAACATTCAAAGTCTGAATAGAACATCAAATGTCTGTTAACAAAGCTGTGTTGTTTTTCTAGTCAGTGAAATAACTGAATTTCGGCGAACTGTAAATTCGTAGTGTTATCGCAAGTCTGCCCTTCCTCATAGTCAGCAAAATTGGCCAAATTCCTATAAAGAAAACTTCATGAAAATCAAATGCGGATATCCCATGTTCGAATCGACAAAACTTTCTGGAGTCGCTCGCACTTTCCCAGTAACCATTTGGTACTCCCAAGAAATGTGAAAGAGTCTTTCATTGCCCAAACGCAAGAATTGTAAATTTACGGAAGAATGAGGGCCCCGAGTTCAGCTCCTCTCAGTGGACCTTAAATCCAATCCAATTATCGATGGTGAAGAAAACCCTTTCTTCTTGGCCTTCTTCAACGAAACAGGCCTTGAAAAACCATGTTTTACATCTTACCACCCAAACTGAGATAGAATCGTAAATATTGGAGGATCCATCTCCAAAGCTGATTAAACTGAATGCGCACTCTGATAAACGCTGCTACAAACTGCCAGAGAATTTTCTTCCTTTGATCGCCGTAAAAGAAAAGATAATCTCCAACTGGGTAAACTTAATGATTCCAAAGAGCTTTTCTGAAAACCCAAGGAATACATTTACAATGGCTAATCAAAAGAAAAAGCAGAATACTATACAAAGAAAGTCAGAAATCAAATA